TCAACACATCTTCTGATGGCATTGTATTTGTGGCTTGAGGTCAGTGCTGTTCTTTATAGTGTTTTTCCGTGGGCCTGGGTTGATCCACTTTAGCCAAGCCATGCGTTTCCACTGCTGCCTTACAGCAGGGGGTAGCTGAGCTGTGCTGCCGTGGTCTTACTTGCTAGTATGGCTGCAATCCCCCCCTCAACAGAGCCACGTCGTCACAGCCAAGAAATTGGTTCAAGTTCTGAATTTCCCCTTGGGGATGAATAAAGTATTCTGAATCATCGCAGTCATTGGATTGGCATCATGTAGAAGCGACAGAGATAGATTTTTTGTTTTAAACATCAAAAAAATTAACTAAGCTTTATCAACAGAATGTGAAGAAGTCTACATACTGCGTTGCAGAGAGTCATGAGATGGGGCATGATTGGAAGTTTGGAAAGGCTATACATTTTTGAGGACATTGCAAAGATTATTACGTGTCTCTAACAGTACGCAATCTTGAACTGTGTCATTGCTGCAATTAGTAAATCACGCAATTCTTGCACAATACACATTGCACCTTTAAAGAGTCGAAAAAATCAGCCTCAGCTGTTTGGTTTTCAATGTCTTTGGTTGTTTGGAGGCGTTAAAAAAGAAAGTGGAGTCCGGTATCACCTGATCTAGTGACAAGGTGCAGACAAGTACCAACACTGCTTTGAGAAATAAGTCGGCAGCTCGGAGCCTCCCCAAGTGTGATCAAGATGAGCAAGGTAGGCAACAAAGAACTGTTGATCCGTGTGCTTGTGGCTCGTCACGGCATTGCTTCGCACAACTATTTCCCCATAATGGAAAAACCCTATTAGTGTTAACACCGTACTGGCTGAAACAAGCCCAACCCACACACTCACACTTAATAATCACCTTTATGTTATCCCCTATTAAGTTTGAATAAATGTTTATACATGTAGGTTAAACAACCTGCACACCTACACAGGTGTTTTCACTTATTTCGGCTAATTAGATCTCTGCACAGGTCGAACTTGCTAGGTGAGGTCGTGGGGTAGTGGATATGCTGGGATAAGTTTTTTAACAAGTCTTAGTGCTGCTCTGGAGCACTATTTTTATATGAGTGGATCCCTGTTTTGTTTTGTGCATGTGACACGGAGTGTGTGGGTCACGCATACACATTCCTGCCAGTGGTTTCACACTATTCCACTGATCTACCGGTGGCAGTAAGACCCCAAGAAACTACATTTTGAATTGAAAAAATTGAAAACCATGTGCGAGTTCTGTAGCGCACTCAAAAATAAAAATTCTCTTGCTCTAACAGGTGCAATAGCTAGAGTGCTTAAATAAGGGACTGGATGAATATCTTCTAAATCATTGTGTGCGTCAGTCTTCACTCTACATCTGTCATGTTAGTGATTGAATAATGGCCAATGGTTAATGGTCGTGAAGGAAGAAAAGAATTTGACTGCAATTTTGACAAACCCACAGCAACTTAAGCAGAGTAAAGGAAGGGTGTGGTTTGACAGCTACTATCTAACTTGTCATTACAGCAAACAACAGCATAATCCCTTTATAGACACCCTGTGCCTGAGGCCGTGGCCTTTTGGGAATGTCATCACTGATGGTAGGATTTTTAACTGCTGCACTGCCAGGCAGGATTCAGTGGTAAACAAAGGACCAGGGAGATCAGCTTAACATATTAGGTATGACATGTATAATCCTCCAACACATTTGACAAAATTAAAACAACACATCGGTTGGCAATATTGTATATGACATTTACGGTTAATAGGATAAATCATGCAAAACCATGTGTTTTCTTTTAGGCCCAAAATAATAAACTACTCTGTTATTAATGTCTAATTGAAAATAGCCATACAGTAACAAGTAGTCAGACACATACGGAGGACCACTTTTAAACATTTGCTTTTCTCTCTTGTGACAATGCTTTTAAAAAGAGCTAGTACTTATTGCTGCTCTTACTAGTACCTATTGTCACTTGAAGATCTTTTACTGTATTAATGCTTTATTAATGCTTGTATGTTGTTAATCAAATGTAAGTCGCTTTGAAAAAAGGCGGCTGCCAAATGAGTAAATGTAAGGTAATATACCAACAATTCAGTGGGTTTATCACAGGATTTGTTTATTAATTAATCTGAGTAACACACATTTAGAATAGCAGGTAACAAATATGTTAATAAACAGTTAATGAACTTAATAAAGTTGAGTTATTTTAGTTGTATATTTGTAATACCTGATCATTTGACATTTTTATATATGGACAACTGATAATGGTCAAATTATTTATTTTACCTGCTGTGAATATTCAACAATTTCTAACAGGGTAATTTTAAACTGGCATATTTTGAATGGAAATGGAGTGACAGTGTATTAATACAAGATATTTTATGGCACATGCAGGACTAGTAGTTGTGGTAAGAGCTTCTTGTGCTGGCAGGAAAACTTTACTATTAACTTCACAACACATAAAAGTGGAGGGGAATTACTTTGAAAAGCTGGACCCAGGAGAAAAAAGCTTGCAACCACAGGATATGAGACCGGGTGCAATAAATAAAGTCAAGGTCTGTTCTTCCAAAGGAAATGAGCGAGAGTCCGTGTGTACACATCTGTCTTCTTTCTCTCATGTCAATTCAATTAACGTCAGCCAGTTAACTTACAGCTGACAAAAGTTTTATTCCAGTCAGTTTTTTTTTTTTTTTGTAAAACAAAACTTTGACGCTTCTTGTTGCCAACTACAACCAGACAGCTGAGAGCAGAAAGAAAAGAAAGCAGCACTCGTCTAACGTTGTCTAGCTTCAGAAAAAGACACGCCAAAGTCCAAACACGTTGAGTTTTACGTTATCTAAGTTCGTGTTTGCTTTCACGCTTATGTGGTTAGTGTTTTTAGTTCGTCACACTCTTCCAACCGTGCTGCTTTTTAGTACAAGACTATCAATCAACGTTAGTGATCTATTGTTTAAGTTTCCTGCATTTTAATAATACAGAGCAACACGGTTGGAATTAACTCCGCCAGGCAGCTTCTTTCTTAGTTAAAGCTTTATATAATCAAATTGTTTGCTGAAGTTATAAACGCTGTGTTTCTATCTCTCGTTTTGCACTTGCTGCTTGAGCTAGCTGGCTTTGTTGTAACCAGCTCGGTAACCTTATCAGTGATAGCAATATACGGGGAGGGGGGGATAATTTAGCAAGCAGACAGACGCTGTATCCCAATCATAAATATAGGCTAGCACTCCACTCGCAAGGTTACAGGGAGGCGTCCCTCTAGCGTGATTTAACTGCTCACTAACAACAACCTTTCTACGCTACTTAGCATCTGTCTCCCTAATCAACGCTGGCTAATTAGCTAACGGTATCATAATAACGTTGAGCTAGCTAGCTTTAACTCGTTAGCTCCGCTGCGTTAGCCCTCTTGCTAGCTAGTGCTAGCACTTTCCTTTCATCTCCTCCCCCAGTGCAGAAATTAGGTTATAATCTGTAATTCCTAAATGTACAGGCACAAAAAGCAACACGTTCCATGAAAACACACTATATAACTGTTCATAAATATAAAAAGAGACAGCGAAATCTCACCTTAATTAGCGATTAAATAGCCTTGTTGCTGCTGTCAATCCCGGAATAGGTTTATTCCCCCGTTTTAATCCATCAGAAACGCTCACAATTCCCATCCACAATGTAGCTGTGCCGTCTGCTAAAACATCGTAATCCCGAACATCACAATGTTGACTTCGATCGCACGTTTTATAGTCTATTATTTGTGTATTTATTCCAAGTTTATTTCTGTTTTCCCTTAACAGAGCAGGGTGTCCCTTTCTCCTTTCTTTGTTCTGTAATCCAGTAAAATTGAAACTCATTCGCCTCCTGCTAATCCCAGCCCAACTCAACAACAGCATCTATTGGCTGCAATTTACATACAGGATTAACGGAGGAACCTCTGGAAAAACCCTCAGGGAGCAACATTTATATGGAAAGGAAATAGTCCTAGTGTGATTATTTATTATATTAGACTGTTGAAATCACTGTCTGTCACATGGCTGCAACTTCACACTGTCAGTTTTGCTTTAAGAAATCCCGCATAGGCTGCATGAAGGTGGTTGGATGTGATAGTAGTACAAAAAAGAAATTAGTTTTAGGATTTGTCCAAAGTGGATATATAGCAGCTACTTGTATCTTCTGGCCAGGACAGTTATGTCATAGCTCTTGTGATTGCCTAAAATAGCATGTTTGTTTCATATAGGGTAAAGGTCATATCCTAAGGGAAAGGGACAGGGGTATCTTATAATAAATTTAAAGAGAAACTATTTTTCGTAAACCCAATTACAAATCATGTAGATACTCCACTATTACACTGTAATATGATTAGTTTAAGTTACTTTTGCACCAATGCAACCAACTCCCAAACCAGTATGAAATACTAAGTTAAATTGTGTTTTACCAAGAGCAAAGATTTGATTTGTTCGTATGCTTCACACACGCTGTACTTTTTGCTTGCTTCTGCAAATCAGTAATCACGTATTTATTCAAATGTCAGAGAGCATAACCAACCTGCCCTCTGGCAAAAAAAAACTTGGACATGTGGATAAGACCTGACATTTGCCAAGGCCAACAAGTAAAAGTGATATATGCGGAGGTCTGAAATCCAAAGATTGTAAATAAACATGCAGTAGATGATTCATCTTCACCGTGAAGGAGCTTGACCCTTTTTCCACATTAAGAAATGATTGCCCCCCCCTTCTGTTTGACATATCAAATATTTGCCTAAGATCAGCATATGATTTACAACAGGGTTTTTGTTATCTTATGTGTGTGAGTTTGGCAGAGGAATGGATAAATGGTTATGATTGCTGGCAGAATCCCCCAAACCACCAATCTCTTAGTGGCATGACATTCTGAAACCACTTTGAATCAGCTCTGTACAAACATACCTACCTTCTGTGCTTTGCCCTCAAAAACAAACATACCAACGTGGCGCAAGTATGAAATAGTGTGAAATAAAACACAACCAGCCCTTGCCCACATTGTTAATATTTAATGACTCAATCTCTGAAACCATTGCAGCAATAATCCAAAGGGTATGAACCCTCCAGCTGAAAAGGCCATATACAATATCCAATGGAAAATTTTGATTTTATCTTAGCTGACCAGCGCCTGCCCTGCATGTTTTTTGCTTAGGAGACAATCTTCCAAGCTTTCCATACCACTCACCTCTGTGTAATGTCTCCTGCAAAGCAATATCAACCTATGACCAACTACAAACAGGATCTCCTTGTTTAGTTGACAGATGGATAAAACAATACTTGGAAGACTTAAAGTATAATTTCTATTCAAATTGATCACATTTTTGCAAATGAAATCCAGATGTTGTCAACCTGGGGAAGATTGAGTGTAACATCTTACATCCGTTGTTTGGGTTTTAGCTGCTGTGACTACCCTTCAGTAGCCCCTACTTAACAAAAGGTCAGCAAAGTAATCCAGGGACATTTTGATACAGCATCAAAATGGGCTCAAATGAGCATCAAATAGGGCTGCGATCATGTACCATATATAATTAATTAATACTAGTGCATGGATAGAGTCTGTACTGATACATAGTCCACTGTAAATGAAATAGCTGATCATTACTGATTAAATGAAATAGCTGATCATTACTGATAGGGTAAGAGGTGTATTGGTACAGGGTCAGACTGAGTTTAAGAGAACGCAAAAGTCTGGAATAATTCACTATATTCAGTCTATAAACATACAGTAACATAACTTAGAGCTGAATTCAGCAGAACCTCCCAGGTTCATTAACTCATTAAGCCAGGGAGCCCCCTGATGTGCGATGGCTAAAAAGGACTACTTTATAGGAAACTCTCCTTACCCAATAACTGAAGAGAGAATTGGTTGGTTGAATTCATCCCTGTCAGGCCTGTAACAAATAAAACTCTCTCCTCGTGGATAATTTAGAACACATAATGGCATCATGGGCGATTCATGTTATGTCACTGGCACAGAAATAATTGTTTGTGCGATTTGCTGTGTTCAAACACCTCAAACCTAGTTCAACAGTTTAACACGTGTGGTAATGCACTCAAAGGATGGCAGGGAGGTCCAATTTAATTTTATTTATATAGCACCAAATCATAACAGGAGTTATCTCAGGGCACTTTTAATTTAGAGCAGGTCTAGGCCGTGCTGCTTAGAACACTCTGCTTTGTGTTGTTGTGCTTGATTGCTTACTTAAAGGTTCTAATTTATTCCTGATATGGATTTCAGAGAGTATAAAATGTATTCAGGATACTTATAGAGTACTGTAACTTGCTCTTGATGTTAACCAGACAGCACAGGGTCTTGCACACTTTTTGAAACTGACTTCATAAATGTTAAAGACGTCAATTTTCAGTCAATAAACACAAAAAACTAATCGGACCACTTCAGATCTGTCTTTTACAGTCTCAAAAGTGTGTTTTTTTTGGTGTATCTTGGTGAATAAAAATTGCGACTCAGCACATTGATGAAAATCGAAGAAGTGGATTATGTTGTGGGAGTTTTTGTGGACTCTAAACCTTTTTACAACAAAAAAAACAGCCACCATTGGAATCCATTATAACACAAATGGATTAAACCTAATCACAGCCAAGAAGGGTGGAGTCCCAATAACGGTCACGTACAATTACATATCTTATTGTACACTAAAGCCGGAGGCACACTGTACAGAGGTAACTGTAATGACTTTGCTACCAATTCTCTCATCAGGTATTAAGTATGGTGACAAATGAGCCAAACCCACTAAAACATAATCGGTGTCATCCTTGCAGAGATGCTCTGACTATCACTGGCCAAGACGGCTCACCCAAGAGGATTATTACAAAGCTGAGGAAGTAAAAGTAATAAATAAAACAAACAAAGTGACCGACACCCAGTACTTCTTTCTTCTCATCGTTGTCCATCAGCCGTTTTGTCTTCCGGATCGAAATTCTGAATTGTCACAGAGTTCCAGGCAACTTGTAGATTCAAAATTTCTAACTACTGTAAAGCATCAAAAGTTGCCATACTGTAATGTACTCAGGAGTTGTACCGATAATATCTCATGTCCATGTCCCGTTTCCTGTTTATATTTTATAGTACTTCTTCATGATTGGCTAATAGGTGCTTTCTGCAACAACACATAAATTCACTCGAGATAGAGATTTGCTGTTTTGGTATTAACTGTAAACTGAAATGTTCTTCGGACGTCCATCGCAGGATCAGGAGAAACGTCGGAGGAGCTTTTCTTTAAGATGTACCCAGTTCAGTCTCATCTCTTCTGCTCATATCAGTGTTGTTCCTGAAAAGCCAAACACAAGAAGTCTTAGCACTGAAAGGTGAAGATACCACCACATCCATAATGATTTGAAATACAATATAAGAATACCAACATCTCGAGGACTGTCTGACTCCTGATGATGAATTCCATTGGCTGAATTTGCACCATGCACCTGAAAAAGACAAACTGTCAATGTAGTCCCATTCTGGACATGATTTAGCTGTACTGTAAGTGAAATTAACGGACTACTATGACATTTTTGGAATACACTTTCTTTCTTGAGTTACATGAGAAGATTGATACTACTCTCATGTGTGTACAGGAAAATAGCTTAAGCTTTAGAGGTGCTGGTAAGAGGATATTACTAACTCTACTTGGCAATAAAGCTCCTTCTGATTATGATTCTGATATTTTTTCCTTTGGACAAAGCTACATTAGCCGTTTCCCCCTGTTTCAGTCTTTGTGCTAAGCTAAGCTAACTAGCAGTAGCATCATATTTGCTGCACAGACAAGAGAGTGGTATAAATTCTGCAGAGAGTAAAATGTGCATTTTACCCTTTGCAAGAAAGCAAATAAGTGTATTTCCCAAAATGTCTCAAAAACGATTTGTCTCTGATATACAGCACACATTAAAATATTTAATCTCTATGCTGCAGACCTCTTTTCTAATGTTTTAATCCTTTAAAGCTGACATTAAAAGCCCTATGTCTTAGTTTTTCCATATCTACAAGCATCCTTTCATCTGGTCTCATGTGGGTACTGGCAAAAAAATTATTTTCATTCTTTTCCTAGTTAAATATGAAAGTGAGGTTTCTTTGTAAATTTACCGGGCTTTTATCTGGATGCCTGCGCATGGCCTGGACCAGCTGGTCGACTTGCTGGTTGTGTTCCAAGGCGTTCCTCAGGGCGTCCTCAGTGCTCAGCAGCCGCTGACGGAGGCGGCTCACCTCAGAGTCCACGGCCGAGGGGTCCAGCATGGAGTACCGCCTGTGATCAGGTGAAGACCGTTCCTGACCCTAAAACCCACACAAGGAAGGAAGATAATAGCCAATGCCTCCTGTTAATTCATGCATATCATGCTGTAGTGTATGTGATTAAAAATATTATTATATACTATTCACATATTAAGAGTACATTTTCATGTCCCTCTCAAGGAGCATCTCAGTTGGAACAGAATATACGGTAAATATCACTATATCTATTCAATATCACTAGCACAGTACATAGATACAGTTTAAAGGAACATTTTGATATTATATAATTTCTTTGGCAGTAAGTTTTTATAGGAAAACTTCACCAATTTTACACATCTATGTTAGTTTTGTCATCATGGTTAGTATCACTCATCCAGTTGTAAGAAGTCTTCTGTGGCTCTGGCAGAGCTTTGTCAATATGCAAAAAATAACCCTGGTGATGTCATCAGCCTGGTGATGTCATGAGACTACGTATGTTCAAATTATAGGTGAGTAGAAAGACATGGGTGCTCATCAGGCAGGGTATATCTAACAAAAAAAGATGCTATTCAGTTGCATTATGCGATATGTAGGAGCCTGCTTTTTTGGAGCTTATATTACGCTTAAAAGGGACTCCTTTACGTAGAGAAGGTTAAAGGAATAGTTGGACCTTTCTTGCAGAGAGTTAGATCGATATTACTCTTTGTGAAGCTGGAGACAGGCGGTGATTAGCTTAGCTTAGAATGTGATTATTAGTCCTACTGAATTGAGTCGCCCGAGAGTCAGTAGAGAAGTGATGGCCAAAGCTAACTGTCCAGTAAGACTTGTTCCCCAACTCATATAAGGCTCTTTGACAACAATCTCCCCTTGATAGGCCTTAACTCATTTGTGCAAGTTACATCATACTTGTTGGGGAGTTAGCGATAAGCGACATTTCTAGAATGGGAAAGAACGGAAATAAATGTCTCAAAAACTGATAATGACTGACAGCATTAGCTAAAATCATAAAGTCCTTCCTTCTCACCAATAGAAGCAATTTTTCACGCAGGGTCTTGATGTCATCCTGAAGTTTCTGCTCCTTGACTTTCCACTCGGCCTTGTGCAGGTCCTTCTCCATGTCCCGTGAATGGCGATGTGCTCCCAGGAGTAACACCCTCAGTTCATTCAGACTCCTGGAAAAACATAGACAAAATATGGGAATAACAAACAAAGAAACCTTGAGTGTTTGGTAATACTGACAAAACAGAACCAACACCCACTAGGTGGTTTTTTTGGCCAACAGTACTGCCCTGACTTGCTATGAAATTGCTCCTGAGTGCAATAATGATAGAGAATCAGTGCAATATTTCTGTCAAGGATTATATGAGTCGTACATCTGCTTAGACCTTGCACAAAAGGTCATTATCATTTAAAAGCTTACCAGCCCATTTTGTGAATAATATCTTAGCCATTCTGCCCAGTGGGATTGTGAAGGCAGCCTCATCTCTGTACATGTCAAACTGTCTTTAATTGGCATAAACTAGTATTTGGCTGTTAGCCAGCATACTAGTCTCAGTAATACCATTATAAAATCACATACACAGTGGGCAACTTTTTTCAGTGACCAGTGAAAATGGTATCTTCTTTACCATCTGCCCTTATTTAAAGTGTAGTGCTGTATATTCATTTTTGCACCTCACACATGACAGCTGTTTTTTATAAGAAACCCTTCAAGCCAGATGTTTCTTGTCTTTCTAAAAAATTGATCTGACAGCTGCAGCTGACTCCTGAGTCCTCACTAAGACTGAGTCCTGACAAAGAATTGATTTCAAAATACTGCTGTTGGTTTATAAAGAACTGAATGGTTTAGGGCCAAAGTACAGTATATTTCTGATGATCTTCTGCTTGATTATGAACCATCCAGACCTCTCAGGTCGTCTGGGGCAGGTCTGCTTTCTGTCCCCAGAATCAAAACTAAACACAGCATTCAGAAACTCAGAATCTCAGAAACTTCAGACTTTTCTTTTTACCACTGCCTTTAAAGAAATCAAATTTAAGGCTGTAGATTAATATCTTACACTGCACTGTCTTTTACTGTCCTCTTTTATCCTGTTTATATTTTCTATTTAACTCTTTTAAAAATTGTATTTCAATGTATTTTTTTTATATTTCCCTATGTTGCTTTTACATTTAATGTAAAGCACTTTGAATTGTTGAAATGTGCTATACAAATAAATGTGCCTTGCCTTTGTGCTGAAGTTGTATGAGCATCTTTTCAAGCTGCGCTAATCAATATTTTTCAACAATGCATGAAATGACTATGTGTAACTTAAAGGCCGTGTAAATAAGTAAGTATTCGCCATGTCAAGTTTATAAGGTGATAATATGTCAATGCTGCTTCACAGCTGCCTATCTGACCATGAAATTACCAAGAACCTGTGTGCTCATGACTTAATGTGGCTGATTTTTGTCTGTCGGAGTCTTTTAGTGTTTTTAAGTGACACAGAGAGTTATATTGGTCTGCATTATTGTTTGCTTCTTAAAATCATAATTTCTTCCACCACGTGACTTTCTCTTGATTGCCTTTCTTGAATCATCTTGTCAAATTCTAAAGATAAAAGAGTGTAACAATGTTCAGTGTTCTTGAAGCAATTTATTGTAATGTATTTGTTTTCCTAAACAGAAAGTCAGTGAAATAGCAGCAAGAACATTAAGGTAATGATACTACCATCCAATAACACTGACTCAAGGGGACACCCAATGATTTTTTCAACGGGTGGTATATACATTTATTGCATACAACATAATTGCTGCCGAGATGATGCACAGACAGATATTCTGCTATCGCCAGAGGCACTTATTTTTAGTGCCTTGTAGCAGTTACTAACATCATAACCATCAATAATGTAAGAACTGCATAATGTAACATTGCCAATAACGTAATACAATTAGACCAATCTGTAGAGTTCCTCCAGCACTTCAGAAAAATGCATTGTCTGAATTTAAATGTGTGTGGACAGGGCAGGACCCTGTTTAATAAAGCCTTGCACGTCGGCAGTGATATTGTGACAACTGTCTCTTTTCAGTTAGTTTTTCAGTTAGAATTTTACTGAATGCAGCCAGATTTGGGAGCTTGAGCTGAAGCAACAAAACTGGACTTGAGAGATTTTGTCAATACTATGCAATCTGGGAGAAGTGGTCGTCTGGCAGGGATTTGACGTTTCCCTCTGCTGCCTGCTCCCTAAACTCAAGAGGAATAGACGCAAAGATTTGGGCCTCTAGCTTCATGTCAGTGTGGTTCAGCAAAGACCAGTGGCAGTATTTGCAAAGATAGTAGTAATAGCCACGCTGTCTTGCAAAGGTGTACCTTAGGCTGGCCGCAATAAAAGGCCACTCGAAAATGTGCAGTTCCATCACACAGCACAATGCCACAGATATCGCAAGTTTTGAGGGAGCGGGCAATTGGCATGCTGAGCGCAGGAATGTCCACCAGAGCCGTTGCCTGTTTCTTGAAAGTTCATTTCTCTACCATAAGCCGTCTCTAAAGGCGTTTCAGTGAATTTGGTAGTGCATCCAACCAGCCTCACAACCGCAGACCACGTTTAACCACACCAGCCCAGGACCTCCACATCCAGCATCTTCACCTCAATCGGTTTGCATAACCAAAGAATTTCTGCACAAACTGTCAGGAACCGTCTCAGGGAAGCTCATCTGCATGCTCGTCGTCCTCATCGGGGTCTCAGCCTGACTGCAATTTCGCACAGCCATTGAAGAGGAGTTGACCAACGTTCTACAGGCCACAATCAACAACCTGATGAACTCTATGCGATGTGTTGCACTGCATGAGGCAAATAGTGGTCACACCAGATACTGACTGGTTTCCGGATCCCCCCGAACCCCAACAATACAGTGAAACTGCACATTTTCGAGTGGCCTTTTATTGTGGCCAGCCTAAGGCACACCTGTCCAATACCCATGCTGTCTGATCAGCATCTTGATATGCCACACCTGTGAGGTGCATGGATTATCTTGGCAAAGGAGAAGTGCTCACTAACACAGATTTTGACAGTTTTGTGAACAATATTTGAGAGAAAAAGGCCTTTTGTGCACATAGAGAAAATCTTAGATCTTTGAGTTTAGCTCATGATGAATGGGGACAAAAACAAAAGTGTTGCATTTATAATTTTATTCAGTATATATAGGGAGGCGCCCTCTACAGGTGCTACTAAAAAGTTATCTCACATAAACAGTGTAAGTGCATTCATAATGAGTTAGCGCCAATTTACTGCTGTGAAACTAGAGGCCTAAATCTGCTGAGGTCACCTTTCGGGAAATATAGGTACATGGTAGATTTATTTGTCACATTACAACAGGTGAAATTGAGTTTGTTCTTCTGCTATGTAGCAGACAATTTACAATAATATAAAAAAAGTATTTTAAAAATGGTAAACTGAAATAAACTATATTCGGTGTATATCTTTTCAGAAGGCAGCAGGGTAAACAGGCTGTGGCTGGGTGGGTACTGTCCTTTAGTATCCTTTGGGCTCTGCGTAGGCACCTCACCTCACCGATATCACTGATGCTCGGTGGATGGGTACCAATGATCTTAAAGCAGTTTTAATCACCCGCTGCAGAGCCCTCTGGTCGTGGTACGTGCACATCCCATGTCAGTTAGAGATGTTTCCAGTCAGGATGCTTTCTATTGCTCCTCTGCTGACAAGAACTTGGCACAGGAATTTAGCCTTCTTTAGTTTTCTCAAGAAATACAATAGTTTTTGACCTTTCATCACCAGCGTGGAGATGTGATCATGTCAGGTTCTCTGTGATGCTGATTCTCAGGATATGTTTATAAAGTAAAACGTTTTTTATTACTCTTTTACAATATGTTTTACTATATTTTTTTACTGCAAAGTATATGTACAGAACATATTTCCCTTGTGGGACAACAACGTTTAAAATGAAAGTTAAGTGAGTCAGGACTTCAACTCCCTGAATTTTCATTACCACCTGTGCTGGAAACTGAAATTCTATTTAAACTTTGTCTCTGTGAGGCACTTTGTTCTTAATTCATAGAGTGCCCATCACAAAAAAGTTTATTATATTATAAACTTGTTCACAAGTTTAAATGCAACAAACGCTGGTACTTTTATAATTAACAGAACTCTCACAACAAAAAGTGTCCTAACTGCACCACTGTGTATTGTTATTTACTGCACCACAGGCAGCAGTGGAAAATAAAACCTCTTGCTGTAGATGCTGCTGATAGTAATGTGGCTCCTGGCGTAGCTAATAACTAATAAAGGTTTTATCCAGATGAAATATTACAAAATTAAATAGTATGATTCAAATTATACTGTTGAAGTTGGCAATGCGTAAGACAAAGTCAATATCTCATTGACTGTGGGTTCCCAGTATCTGTCCATTATCAAATTGATAATATGATGTATTTTTGTGCATCACGTCTGCATGTGCCGAGATATAATTTTTCACTCCCGTTTCCCGGTAAGCGTTCAGGCAGATGGTAAAATCAGCACAGCCTTGTGTCCCTACCTCTCTTTCCTCAGCAGCTCCTGGCTGATGTTGACCAGCTGCCCAGAGGCATCGTGGGACTTCTTTGTCATGGACTCAAGCTCTGCCTCCACACACATCTTCTCCTTGGCCAGGGCTTCGACTTTCTTTTCCCCTGAGCGAACTTTTCCCTCCAGTGCTGGTGCGAGAGAAGGAGGAAGCAAATTTTTTGCTGTGAATTTAATAATAATTAATTATTTTAACCTTATTTAGTATGTATCATGTTATCATATATAAGGACACCAAATAAATTGTTAATAACACACTATGAAGTAGTAAAAAGTAACATTTTTAAGCATTTATGTAAACAGCTGTAACCATATACGAATATGAAATAGGAAGCGTTTATTTGTTATAGGCCTATGTGTTACATTGATGTTTGTCATGTTATAACTATATTTATTATTTATTCTTCATTTTCCGTGACAACTGAGCAAACTCAATCTGCTGATGAAAGCCACACGACGTGGCTGAGAGCTCTGGAAGAATTCTAGTAAGTAACTCAAGCACAACATAGCTTCATTATTTTTGAATTCATTTATAAACAGTTTTTAACTCCCCTGTGAATAATCTGTACATGAAAATAACACACTGTAAGGACTTATTTATGTGTGCAACAGTATGTCATTAAAAATTATTACAGCTATTTTATACTGTCAATCATTCATTAACTGTTTAAAATATACAAATATATTGATCCTCCACTCAAAAATTGGTTTTAGCTTCTATGTGCAGGATGATGTGCAGAGATTGACACTAGAAGGCTGTTTTCACGTTCATCTGCTGAAGGAGGAACGTTTCTCTGCACTCGCCTTAAATCTGAGTTTAAGCTTTGTATGTACAAGCAGGATTATAATATATATATATATAACTAGTTTAGAAGCCAATCGTCGTGCAAAAGGTAGCCTTCAGTGCACATACACTAATAATGGACCTTTCGGTACCACTTTACTTTAAAGGATAGGCTCACAATTTCCTCAATATTCAGGTGCCCATATGAACACTGGTTTTGCAAGCTGTAATCGTTCATCCTGTTCATAATGGTCATCAATAGATTCCTTCCTAATGTTCTTCTTTTGCAAGCGATGAAGAACAAAATCTACAGTCCTCGTTTTGTGCAAAAAAGTATTCTAAAGTTTCTCTGAAGATAATGAGGCTTCAGCAGTCTGACTTAGCTAAATCAAGTCTTTTTAGTGTGAAATCCCCTCTTTGTGTTTACTATTCTTCCACTGCAGCTCAGCAAACAATCCCTATCGAGGGAAAAATAGGAAAAGAATCCACTTGATTTGTCTTAGTCAGACTGCTGAAGCTTCACATAAGCGTTTTTGTCCCCCATCACTTACATTTGAAGAATGTTAGCCATGCAGATGAGGTCTACAGTCTGTAAAACTCAATTATCAGAACATTCAAATGTAGTTTTATTAAAAAACAGTCACATTGTAGAGTAATGAAACAATTCTTCACTTTTTGCCTGATATTGTTCTTTTTCTCTTTGTAAATTATTTACAACCTATTCTTCAAAGTGTGTCAGTTTGATTATGTAAAGTACATGAAGTGTGTTTTGGGTCCTTTTGATGTGATGGAACTTAAAGTTTTTCAAAAGACAGCCAGTTGACAGATTTCTCAGCAATGATCAAAGAATGTAACGGTGAAGATGAACACTATCCACCGCACAGTGATCTCAGCATGACTGGTATGAAAATGAAGTAAAGGCTGCAGTCACGACACATACAGCGACAGCGCACAGACTCACAGAGAGAACAACTCTGACAGAATGACACTAATGAAGGTCATTATCTAAATGTTCTCTAAGGTGTTTGTCTGTTACATGGAATATGTCTACCAAAACCCTAATTGGTTTGGCAGGAAATGACAATATGCCAATAGCAAACTTAGCCCTGTTTTAGCATTGTGAGGAAAATGTGACACCACAATTTCCACACAAAAGTACATGTTTTTATTAGCAATGTTGTTATGTGTGGAAAAGATCTCTCTGCAGAGATGAAAATCGGAAAAAAGACACGAGAGCTTGGAAAAGGTCGCTGACTGCTCTTGGACGTTGACATTTACCTCCAATCTGGGATTTGAGGGCTTCAACCTGGGAAGTGAGAGTTGAGACCTCCTTTTCCCTTTTCATCAACTTCTCCATTGTTTCTGAAGAAAAACAACACAACGGTAAGTGTCTTGCTTGGAGAATGCAATGTTCAAGAAACCACAATAAATGCGTTGATGCAGGAAATGTAACTCAGTCTGTAAGGTGTATTCTGTAGATTTAAAGTTATATATTATTTATGAATCTATTAAAATAGTAAAATCATTTCAGTGTGCGGTAGCTTGTTTTTGATTTTTTCCAAATACTAAGACTGTTGGTCAGGAAATAAACTGTCTATACTTAAGAGATGAGAATAATTTCTGATCAACTTGTTGACAAGCAGCTTCAGCAGTTCCGTGAGTTGATTATTTGAATCAGCTGTGTTGGAGCAGGGAGAGCTCTGTAACATGCAAGACAAGGGGTACTACAGGTTTTTTGAGAAATGTGGTTCTCCTCCTGAATTTAGAGTGAGTAAATCTCTAGCAATACTGTAGCCTCATTTTTAACGGACAGATTATGAGAGTGATATCAATGTTTTCATCTAACTCTCCGCCAGAAAGCAAATTTCCTGTTTAAATGGCTTGCAGTTGAAAAATTGAAGAGGACAGAATTGTGCATTTCTCTCCAGCCCATTTGTGCATAAATGGACATTATGATCAGCAACTTATAAAGTAATATAAAATCTATACAGAACTGTAAAGGAGTTTTAACAATGCTTCAAGAAAAATAATAATATCACTTAGTCTTATTACTTTGGGAAGTAATAGCACGGAGCAGAATATGTATGAATAGTTTGTTCTTATGAAATTTTATTTAGCATTAAAATAAATGGATGCTGATACCTTCGATATTCTGTTTTAGCTTCATCTTCTCATCTGAAATTTCATTATCCTCTATCACCTGAAAAAGAATTAAGTGTCAAGAGAGTTGAACTTAAATCAAAGCAATGACAGCATGCCAATAATCAAAATAGGTGCTTCTCACTTCTCCTCAGCTACTCACATTTGCATCATGGGATGTGTAGCGGTCTGTCTGGATGGCCTGGAGCTGGTTCGCAGTCACCCTCAGCTTCTCCTCCAGTTTCTGGATCTCCTCTCGGCTCTCTGCCTGAGCCTTCTGCAGAGCCTGGTAGTCCATCATCTTCTTCTCTGACAGCTCCAGCCTCTCTCGCAGCTCCCCTGTGCTTTTGTCCTGCTCCACTTGTAACTTCTCCATCTCCGCCAGCCTCTGCTCCGCCTTCTGTTGTTTCTCAGTAGCCTCCTCCAGGGCATGCTTGCTGCTTTTGGCCTCTACCTCAGTCCTCCATGTCTGGTTGCCCCCAGCCAGCTGATCTTTGGCCTCCTGAAGACGAGCGCAGAGGTCTTCACGTTCCTTGGTCAGAATGGCAGCTTCAATCTTATGTTTGGCCTTGAGATTCTCCATCTCCAGCTGGTGCTCCATCTTAAGGCCCTCCAGAGTGGCTCTCAGCTCCTGGGCGTCCTGCTCTTGGCCTGCTGGCGTAGAATGATCACTACTCAGTGTGGCCTTCAGTTCCTCCAAGGAACGCTGGTGGTCGCTCACTAAAGTGTCATATTTTTCCTGCAGATGGAAGTGAGAAGCAATATTGTATTTAAATTTTGAAAAGATGAATTCAAACTTACTGCTTTCTGCCTTTAAATCCTCTTAGCAGTTCAGCATAGATACTTTCATAACTGGGTAATTTACAGAGCTCCACTGAAGTGACCCCACTGCTCTTGCTAAAGTTAATTGAACAGTTTGCATTGGGTTAAAAAGAATCTAGCAGAATACCTTCCAGGTGTCCATCATTTCCATATTTTCCTTGGTGGCCTGTTGAACTTTCTGCTTCATCTCACTGATGTCCTGGTTCTTACTTTCCACCATGGCCTTCAGCGACTCTATCTCCCGCTGGCTTGCTGCTAATGCCGTATCGTACTTCTCTTTAAGCTCGCTGCTCTCCTTGTAGTGCTCGCGGCTCACCGACACCAGCCGCTCATGCAGGAGGAGGGTCTCCGGCTGGGTCTCGGACCCGGGAGCAGCCTCGCTGTTGTTGACTCGCGGCAAGCTTGGGTCAGATCCTCTGAGTTGAGCCTGGAGGTTCTCAACCTCAGCTCTCCTGAGGTGGAGCTCCTCCTCCAACTGCATGATACGACTCTGCTCTTCAACTGTGGTTTGCTGTTGAAAAGAAACACTGTCCGTCACTGGTACTGAAAGTTTTTTTCTGATGAGTGCAGAAAGATGTCAGCCTTTCGAAAGAATGACCTTATTACCGTAACAGGTGGAAGAGCCTGCAACAGAATGATGTCATTCCAAAGAAAAGGTGACTTTAAGAGCAGAAATCAGGCTTCAGGAAAAAGGAAATCAGAGGGAAACCCCTGAAGGTCCTTGCAAAGATTGGAGACGGTGCATTCCAGTGAATATACAATACAAGCAAATTCCATTACGTATGTGGACAGTGACAAATTGTGTAACATTTTGGCTTCCTGTTGTACTCCTTAGATACACAATTATACAAAGACAGCTATTTGTTTTCTAGCAGCCAGATTTCCCAGAGCACATCAGCATTTATGCAGATTTTATGTAGAATGTGTTTGAAATATTCATGGAAAAATTCTTATGTTTGAAATTGATTCTTAACTCCCCCTAAAACCACAATTTCTCAACTTGTACCTTTATCTTTTTGTTCATATTAAATAAATAAGATAAAAGGTGGTAATTATTAAACAGAGAACTCACTGCCCTGCAGAGAGCATCAGAGTTGACCGTTATAACATACAGGCTAAGAGGATTTTTCACTCTTGCAACATGAATGTAACTGAGGCTACACCCACAGGAAGATTATCTATGCTCTTCTTTTTGTGACAGTTCCATGAACATATGGTAAATGGGACAGATCTAAAACTGTGTTAGAAATCATAGAAAGAACCATGTGGAAATAAAATATCAACGTTTTTAAAAATACTTTTGGGGCACTTTTAAAGACCTTAAAGCTGCATTAATAGATTTTTTGGCCACTTTTGGAAAACAAAACATCTCATAAATTATCAACTTGCTAATGTGTTGGCAAACAATTGATTACTGACACATTGAGCAGCCACAGAACAACATTAGCATTTATTTGCAGTCGTGTTTCTGGACACCTGATTAATGTAATTCCAATATTCACCCACTTTTAGCTCTGTTTTGGGTCCTCACCAACTCCTGAAGGAAAAATCTGTCTCTTTAGCTACCAAATGCGTCCCTATGTTTACCAGCTAGTTACTTTGTTGATCTGCTGTTTCGGGCTGGGCAGGTAGCGTACAGTAGGTTTGTCAGAGCTTTTTCTCTGAAACAGCTGCCTGCTTTTACTGTAAACAAGGATAAGTAGGGCTGATTTTGCTAGACAGAAAGTCAAAGCAATTACCTTAAAGGTGCTAAAAGGCTCAGTTGAGCTGAGGGAAAAACGACGGTGATAATTCTCTGTGGGTTTGTCACTATGAGCAACAATGTACACATTACACATATTCATTAATCCACTGGCAACAGAAAAATATTGATAAGAGCAGCTTTAAGTCGTCTAATTGCCCATTTCGAATCTTACTGTTGGATTCTAGTCTCCCTTCTCTAGCTGGCAAAAGCTATAATTGCTCATTAGTTTAGAGTGGTACAACCAAAGTACTGGCGCCACTAGGGGTTTGAATTTCACAGAACATCAAAAGTCCAAACAAACCATTATACTCATTTTATGATACTGCTGTCATCATATCAAAGCTGACAGTCCACACTTAAATTTTAAAGTCATTTCTATCCAAAGTAATAAAATTAAGGAGCCAAAGGATCAATGTATCACTGTCCAAATATTTGTGCAGCTCACTGTATGTGCAAAGAAGTGAAAGATGAGAGGAGAGCACAGCCATTCTCTGATCATCTAGAAGCAGCCAAGCAAATATAATAAAGCCAACAGCAAACCTCCACATGGTGACAGTGCGCACACACAAAACACACACATATCTGCAAAAATCCTCTACACACTTGTATCCAATTAAAACAAAACAAAGATTAAGAAAGAGGACCTGCTGCACAGTGCACAGATGATGTTAATTTTAACCATCTGGGAAAACAATCTATAAGACCTCACCTTACTAGTTGATTCAGATCAAACATGTTGCCTGGATAGCATTCAGATTACAGCATAACTCAGGAGCAAAGAGAGTAAAAAGAGTCTATGCAAGGTTAATGTCCTTGACAGCATCTGAAGTCGATTTGAAGTCAAGAATTGAGATAGCTCAGCAGCGGATCAAAGCCAAAACAAGATCAAATCTTTTTTTCACCTTGGTTCTCTTACCCAACCTCAAGGATACTGCATCATGAGTGCATCTTCCCTGTTGGCAGAAGCAGACCTTACTGCATATAGGAATCCAGCGTTTCCAGTGTTTTGTTTGTCAGAGCCCCTTGAGGCAAATTGTGATTTGTGATATTGGGTTATATAAATAAAACTGACTTGACCTGACTTTGTTGTCTTTTGATGCCTGAAAATTGAAAGCACAAGCTTGTGCGGTTTGATTTGTGATTCTATGGTCTATTATTGAAGAGGCTTTCTCTCTGAAGTGCAGCACTGCATGTCAAAGTGGGGTAAAGGACGTCCTTTGCTACACTCAACTACTGATGATAAACGGGCAGTACCACAATGATTTGTCTTGAAACATTAAGCTAAGAATCAGTGATGAATCAATTTCTCATGTGTTACTAATCACATAACTGCTTAAAAAATTAGAACGGAGCTTGGAGAGATTAATCCACTACGTTCCCTCAAAACAATGGAAAGATGTTATGTCCTGACATCTGAAAGTGCAGCTGATCCAAGCCAACCTTTAAATAAATGATTAAAATAAATCAATCAATCACAATTTAAAAGCACATTAACACCACCTACTGCAACAGAAGACATGTGAAAAGCTGAAGCAGCTGACATTGTGTTTCCTATCGAGGCGATTGTCTCGGGGGAAGCTCTGGCTCAGCAGCGAGGAGCATTATTACTGTGATTCATGAATGAAGGAATGAAGGAGAAGACGGAGCAGATAAAGTCAATCTGCGAATGTGGTTATGTGATTTCTCATTTCTACCTTCGTACAAGGTAAAAGTAATCATCCATCAATGGCATATTCATATCTGGGGCTAATTATATTGAGAAAGAACAGTGGGACACCTTTACATACCAACATATTTCAATTATTTTTAAAGATGATTATTTCAACAGATCCTATGAAAAGACCAAAACCAACAATGATCCCACTAACACATAGGATCTGTGTATCAAAAGTCTGATATCTATTCCTCTGCGCTATCGAGCACCATTGTTGTCCAAAAATTATTAAAAACACATAAAAAGAGCCACACTAGATGCCATGTTCCTTCATTTCCATGAACACACCCACTGTAGTTTATTGTCATAGTCAGTGCTGTAAAAACTCACACTAGCACACTGACCGTGTAGGCATCCGCCGCTGAAAATAGTCCCCTACAAATGCACTACTACTACCCCAGCTGTTTCAGTAAATTATTAAGCCTTTTTTCATGGGATTTGAGTGAGTAATGAAACTACAGAATAACACCAGTCTTATTGTTTAAACTGCTGGATTTTAATATCGACAAGTATTTTCTTTCTCTATTCAATTATTCTCAGATTTCAGCTTCTTTAATGTGAATACTTATTGCTTGTTGACAAAACAAGACATTTGAGAAAGTCATCTTGGGCTTTGGGAAACACTGATCACCATTTCCTCACATTCTTACAACCGAACAACTAGTCAGCTAATTGAGAAAATAATCGACAATAAAATTAATTGTTATGTGCAGCCCTAATTAAAGGTTCACTGATATACAGATATGTAGGATAGTATCTGTTGTATCAGCACAGACACTGATCCACAGTTTTAGCAATATTTCCAACGATTCAAACTTTACAGTATGGATACTTTCACTTCACGTTGTGGCATTAAACATAACCTTTCTACTTCCTTGCCTGTAAAAATGCAGAAATGTATCTGTAAAACTTATTAATGGCAAGAAAAGGAAGGCTTTTGTATGTTTGTATCTGTTGTTCTGCATGTTTTGTATACCTCAGTGTAGTTGTGGGTTCCATGTTATACCCATAGCTGTTTGTGTTGTCTACGTGTGCAAAAGGCCTTTTCTTCCTCTGTTTGTTTAGAAAATAAAGCCCAGATTAAAACTGAGATTGCAGATCAGATTGACCACTATACTTGTATGTGTATTGGTTTTAAATAATTATTACTGACATATCTCTAGTTTGACACCAAAGACAGGCGGAGTGTGAATTTAACCTGTGCAGCTTGTGAGTTATGTTACTATCAACAAAGAAAAAGCAAACAGAACCACACAGGACAGTGGCTACAGGCAGAGGGCTCGTGCTTTTTACCCTCCTCTTGTCTAATTCTTTCTGGAGCGACTCTACTCTCGACTTTTCGAGGAGCAGGTTCTGCTGAAGCTGACGAATATGGGCGTGTTCCAATTTCGTCTGATGCTACAGAGAGAGACAAAGAGAGAGACACAGAGGAACAAAAGAGTGATAGAAAAGAAGAAGAAAAAAAAGACTCCAAGGCAAAGAGACCCATAAAGATCCAAGGGGAATGATAAAGATCAGAACAGCAGTCAACATATGATAAGAGGGTAGCTTTGTAGACAGCGGCACTGAAACAGTTTAGACTCTGAAATGAGTTGATCATAAGATGAGAAGACTTGCGGAGATTTAGGTCAGTTCAATTTCAGGCTTGGAAGTGACATTTATCTGGCAGTTAAGATGCACCAGGGAGGGACAACTCTGCAACACATCCGTCATGTGTAAGCTTTGCAGATTGTACTTTGTACTGAAAGCCCTGCATGATATAGTGTTTTTATGGTAAAAATAACCAACTGGTTTAAAGATGTGCTGAACATTCACCGACTTTACATTTAATTAAACTGTAACATTTATTCTCTCTTAAGATTATTAGCTAATTAAAAATTGATAATGTGATTTCTCATTTAAGTGACATTTCTGTCGATTACCGATCTGCACACTGAGGGATGGTTATGATTAAAAAGATAAGGTAACAATAAATTGATCGTACAGTGTCTGATATAGCTTAGACCTCTGAGCCACAGAGCTCCATTGTTGTCCAAAAACTATTAAAAACACATCAGTGAGCCACAGTGTTGCACTGTGACATGTTCTTTCATTACCATGACCAGGAGCACTGTAGTTTATTTTGAGTCCTGTTGCTACAGCAATACTCGCAACAGCATCAAATGGGTATTAATCTGTGGTTGAAAAAAGTCCCTAATAAATGCACTACAGAATTTACTCCTGTTGAAATAACGTTTACTACAAACTACAGTTAGAATGTTATTTATTATTATTATTATGTTTTTTAAATTGAAAGTTTATATTTGTGAACAATTTTTAAAGGCACAATGTGTAAGATTTGGCCAGAATTTTACTTAAAAACATAAAAAAATGAACTAACATGATCAACGTGATGTGAAGAAGTAACGAGAGGAGAGAGAGTCACTGTAGCTTCCAGTCTGCCCTCAATCCCACATGAGAGGACGAAGGAAGAAGTAGAGCTGCCCCCCGACGGCTTTTACATGAGCTGTCTTGAGCTTTTTGGTTTAAAGGATGTATTTAAGGCTAGTGTGAATACTCCTGTCACCATACTAGGGAGTTTGTGCATGCATTTGTAGGCTAAATACAGCCAAGAGCATATTCAAAAGTGAACAAATTACATTTTCCTTCCATTCAGGTTCTTTCTCAAAGAACATACAGGAGGCGGGAAGATAGGGTACCTTTTCTAATGGATTTCAGACTTTTCTGCATAGCTTAAAAATTAGGTACAAATCACGCCTTTATTGAAGTAAGCCATTTAGTCATGGTTTTTAAATACTTGCATTTTGTTTGACTTTTGCCCCCAAATATGCTGCAACTGAAAACTTGTTTTTCATGAAATATCTGTATTCCTTAAGTAAGTGGGCAGCGTAGTGACTGGCGGAAGCTGTCCATCCACCGTAGTGAGTCCAGATCATGTTCCCTGCTGAATCATCACTGAGCTCCTCATCTGAACTCCTCTGGTCTAAAGGAAATGTTAACATGCTCATACTCTCCCACAAAATACGCTTTTGGGCTCCATGTCATCTTTCCAATGACATTATTATCCATGTCCATGATAAAGGATACACCGGACATTAGTATAAAAGAGCATATACAGTACATTCAATTATAAATACAGTTTTTAGGTAATAATAATGCTGATACATACCTCCAGGTCTCCTTTGGTGATGCATTCCTCCTCTACTCTGAATTGGAGGTCCTCCACCTTCCTGTAAACAAGTTGTGTAGCAGAGGATGGAAATGTCAAAGGATCTCAGACTTACAACTCGTAGTGTTTGAGTCACTAAGAATCATCAGACAGCAAAGGACTGTCAACCTGCTCTGTGTGAAACATGGTTACATGCATATATGTATTCTCAACCTCACACTTCACACTTCCTAGTGAGCTGTCTGTTTTCGTAGAAATCACAACTTTTGTCCCAATAGTCAAAAGAAGCTTATTTGCTTTCTTAACCAGAGTGCGACGAGAAAGAAATGTCTTAAGTTTGGAGCTGAAGCAAGGACATGTTAGGCCCTGTTTTTGGCCCTGTCTCAAATAAACCCACCAACAACTCTTAAACTGTCTTGAATCGATCAAACAGTGGGGTTTATTTGTTTAATCTGTACACAAACAGAAATGTACAAAAACAATTTCTGATTTTAGGGAGATATATGTGCTGAAACTGTTTCTTGACAAACAACAGTTTACCTCTCTGTCCAGTGCTTCTCGACAGCCGCTCTTGGAATAGGACGGGTTGCCAAATTTGGTAGGTGAGCACAGGTTTTGGTCTCTGTAAAGGCAGAGCGGTACCAAAACTGGCAACCTTACTGTGATGATAAGATTCCAGGAAGCTGCGTATGATCACTATGCCAAGCACGTTGTTCGTCTAGAAATAGTTCCAGCACATAACTCTCCTTAAACCACAACATCATATGTGTTAATTAGTGAGCTTTAGAGGTGTTACTAGAGAAAGAAAGCAAATATGTTTATTTACCAAAATATTGATTTTTTTTAGTCAATTTCTTTAGTCTAGATACACTACAGTGCAATGAACCACGTCTGAAGAGAGACCACGAACGTTTCAGCCCAAAACAAACAATGATAAGTTCAAATGATGATAATAAAAATTTGTGATGATGAGAATACCAAGTTCGACATCCAAGATAACAGGAATAAATACAATAAAATGTAAAATGGTTTGAGAGTGTATTTTTGTCAAGGCCTGTGGATACCTTCAAATGTCATACCGAACAATGGTTCACATTTACATTTACATTTAAGTACCAGCACTGTTTCACGAGAGAGTGAAAATTTAAGATATTACCTTTTCTCTTCTTCAAGCTGATTGGACAATTCCAGTTTATCTTTCTGTGCGCTGGCCAACATGGCTTTAACCTGCTGGAGGGTGCTTTCATTCTCCGTTACATACTGTGGACAGTATAAGAAAGGCGTTTATGAAACATACTGTATTAGTCACAACTGATTTATTTTTGCGTAAGTCACTGGGGAGATTGATTTATTCAACAACATATCGCTGTTCTTCCCTAGCAGATCATCTCCTTGTTCTGTTTCGTACCTGCACGTGCTGTGACTTCAAGACGCTCAGCTCCTTCTCCACCTCACAGATGTGGCTGGTGGCCTTAGCCATCTCAGCCCGCTCCATGTCCCTCTCAGCCAGCAGCTGCTCGATGTGCTGCTGCTTCTCCTTCAGGGCTTCCTGGAGCGCGGTGGTGCCCGAGATCTTACGGGCGTAGCGCGACGATGTCTCGGTCAGCTGAAAAGGCCAAGGATATAAAAATATAAAGGTAATGTAAAAGGTGTGAGGGATAGATAAGAAGGCGAGGGAACATAGAGGAAAGGGGTAGAGAGGTTGAAAAAAGTGATAAAGTTGATAAAGATTGGACACAAATTAATCAGCTTTACAGTTTCTCCTTCGATCTGGGTGACAGATCAAACTTTCAGATGTTGTTTTATCGATATCATAATTCAATTATTTAATGACAACGAGAAACCAGCTTATCTGTGATTAATAACAGGCTCTGCTTTCTTGTAATCTCTAACTAATATTTTCACCATTATGAGAAAACATCCAGTAAAAACCGCTTTCATTATTAAAAACATGATCATGTTACTGACATGCAAAACTACTGATATGCAATCCAGGATGAGCAGGTATGGATGATGGATGGATGGATAAAACCCCAATTTGTAGCAGAGGTTTTTAATAAAGTCCTGAAAGATGCAACATTTTCTTTGACCACTAGAGGGTGCTCTTTGAAAGCATTCCTGCCTGTCATTTATGATCATTTCAATTCCAACGCCTTTATTTTATAACAGAATAATGCTGATGATGGAGTTTTCTTGCTGATTGAAAGCCAAAGTAGTTGTAGTGGTAATAATACTGTACATAAACATTTACAGCATTTCTGATACAGAAACTCTGACGAAACAGCCAAAAGGCTCATGATTTCCAATAGATGGTCACTGGATGTTGCAAAGATCATGGATTCCTGCTTTTATGTAGGCACCTCTATTATGTATTGCAGCAAGGGCTACAGGCAAATAATTTATACTTTGATGGATGTTATTAATATTCCACTCTCTTTATTTTCACAGTCATTAATGCTCTAATTGACTCTGTACCTGCAAATTAGGGACAGTGCCTGCTTTCCTACCTTTTAACAACACGAACTGTGTCACACACTTTCCAGATCTTTAGGACTGATAGTGAGTCTGACTATTTTGTGCAGCGTGATCAGCTTGATAATTCAGAATGGTTGCTTTCAGCACTGCCTGACACTACTGCCAACAATTAAGGAAAGTAAAAGGGAGTGTTCTCCATTCACGATCTGGCTTGCAACCAGAAGCTAAAATCAATGTGAGTTACCCTGATGTCCCATTTGTTTTAGTTTGTTGCCAACCATTCCTGAGGATATTACTCTTAAAGACACAGCATGTTGGAATGAGCCACTTAAGCTCTCTTTCAGCTGCAGGTCTGCAGATTTGTCACAGAGGGGAAACATGCAAAGTCAGTGATTCACAGCTTCACATTGCACAGCAACAAAATGCAAATCATTAACTGCTCAGTAGATAAGGCAGTCTTTTGATACAATGAACCCATTCATCAACCTGCTGTTTGAATTTTTGAAATATTCAACTGTAATCAGACACACTAATTGATATTTTATAAATTATAAAAATGAAGATTTAAAATAACAACAACAACAATAATAATAATAACAATAATAATGATAATAATAATAATAATAATAAAGAGCTTAATAAGCACCCTTGGTATTCAGAGATTGGGTTATACTTTTTTATTTTACCTTTCTACCTATTGAAAAGTATTTTAAACATATGTTCAAGAAAGAAAATATACTGTTATGGTTAGAAGCACTATATTACTTTAATCATGTCCCATGTTTCTTAAATTCTTGTTTTTTATGGTATTATAATTATTATTATCACCTTCTAACTCATGGCACTATAGAAAAAAAGTTTACTTACTCACTTGCTTACTGTAAAGGAATAATTTTGGGAAATAAGCTTTTTTAGTTTCTTGCAAAGAGTTAGATAAGAAGAGCTTAGCTTAGAAGTACAAAATAATTTTTTAAGCTTGTTAATTAGATTAGGTTTCATCCATAGAAAAAATTAAAAATTAGTTCCTAACTGGAAAAATGTACTTCAATGCACTCTCAATTCGGAACTACAACTCAGGAAGTCGGTGCAAATTTTGGTAGACGACTTGCCGAGTCGACATCATATTACGCAGAAACACGGCAGATGAAAGTAAATTTCTTTTTATTTATTTACGTATTGTATAGCAATGTTTTGTAATTTGTAATATAATATTAGGCTGTTACCGATAGTTGCTGTCCATGAAGAGTGACCTAGACCTAGTTATTTATCAGCATTAGCTCTGATAACAAGTCAGATAACCGGACGCTATACAAAAACGTCTACGTTGCTTCCACATTACGACATAAAGCTAGTAGACACACGAAAGTCGGAGGAACCACTTCCCAGCGTGGGAAATGGGGCTATCCGAGGAGCGTGTGAATGCAGCATATGTGCAGGGCTATCTTTTGCCTTGTAGCAGTGACTTCCTGGAGTCTCTGCTGGCTTCCTGGCATCTTCATGGCGACAACATGACCGTCTGTAGCTTCATGTTCACCATAGAGACATGACAGCCGCATCAGTCTTCTCATCTAACTCTCGGCAAGAGCGCAAACAAACGTATTTCCCAAAATGTAACTATTCCTTTAAACAGCACATTTTACTGTATGAACAGCCCCTCAGCTCTCAGCATATATTTGAGGCACAATGCCATCATCTTACCAGTCCAGTTCGGCTCGGTCGTCCACCCACAGAGGAGGCCACCGAGCTGACTGAACTGATGGAGGAGCTGCTGGGGCTGTGGGCCAGAGAGGAAACCCCCATGGCCATCCGCTTGCTCTTCTTAGCTTTGGCCGGGCTGGTGGAGGGGAAGCCGATGCGGATCACCTTGTGGATCGGAGCAAACAAACCAAACTTAGGAAGACACTGGAAGTATCTGCAGGAAGAGAAGAAGGGGGACAAAGAACTGCTTTAAAATGATGTCCCCAATACAACAATACAACAGTTATTTTAGTGAGTTTCCATTTGTTCTTGATTCAAAAAGCTTTATTTAGGTACTTCCATTCACATCCATAAGCATGATGGAAAAAAAATGCTGCTGGTCTGATGGCATTTTGGTAGGAAATAATAATCTTCTTTTGCCATCTGGAAATATGTCAGCTTCAAACCAGGTGCAAATGTGCCTTTTAGCTCTTTTTGCATCACCGATTAAATGACCAATCAGTTAAGTCACCTGAAAAACAGTAAAATCACCTATAAAACCGTAAAACTAAATCCAGCATGACAAGTGCAAGAAGGCCAGAGTGAGCTGCAGCATTACAGGGCAAGAATTTAAAATATGCACAATATTATACATGAAGAACCTAATACCTACAATAATTAGTAGTAACAGCATTAATAGGTTATAATACTTAGAGCTGAAATAATTAGTTTAGATTATTCAATTTATTAATCAAAAGAAAATAAATTAGTAAAATGCTGATAATCGATTGAACTTTTGAGTGTTTCCCAAGGAAAAAATAGCAAAAAATTGCATTATTATAATTGCAAAATTGTATTATTTTGTACTATTTTCTTTCTCTTCCTTATTTACGTCTATCTTTGATCCTGTAAACACAGTCACAGGCTATGAATAAGCCCCTTTTGGGCCTCTCTGCACACTGTACTTTTTGTTCTTCTAATATCTTTTTTATGCAGACTTCTACAAATAAACTTTGAATCCTTAACTATTTGGGCATTACACTGGGAGAGAAGGTTCCAAACAAGACCACATCTTAGAACAAGTCTTTAGTTTAAACAAATAAATGTATGCCTCTGGATGTGGGTTTTGGTTTTTCAGCTTTAATGTTCAAGAAATGACATATTTTACCCATTTTAAACAGTGATTGTGTTAATGTAGAGAGAGGAATGTGCGCTCTACTAAAAATAATTGTATGTAGATTCTGTATGGTGAGAAAATGCAAGTCATAAATATGCTAAATGTGATAAATACGAAGCATAAAAACACACCCAAACAATGGTGCAGACCAGCTCTGGGCTAGATGTCCAGTCAGTGTAATGTCATGGACAAACAGATGAAAGAACAAAGAACAAACAGCTGAACAGATGGATCCACAGTCTTCCCCTCAATTTCCTTTTAGGTGAAAAAGCAAAGGAATTTGGGGAGCTTGAAGCATACATAATGTGTGCGTGGATGTGTGTGTACCTTGTACCAGCTACTGCACCGTCGTTCTTCCCCAGGGGCTCATCCAGCTCGACCCCACACCATTCACCCTTGGCGAAGTCTGTCTCGCCCATGTAGCGTATGACTCCCATCTTAGAGCCTCCCACCTGACAACAGAGAAGGAAAATGTCTGACTGTTACACTTTCAGTCATAAAAAGAACACACAGAAAGAAAGACGTTTCAGTAAGTGGTCATGGCTGGTTTTAATGAATGTATTAGTTGGCCAATTAATATACAATCATCAAACTAGATGTGATACTCTGGTTGGAAAAAAACTGGTTAAAGAAATCGTTTGGCATTAGGGGAAATACGCTAACTCACATTCTGGAGAAGAGTTAAATGAAGATCAACATCACTCTAATATCTGTACGGTAAACATGAAGCTACAGCCAGCAACGAAGACTGGAAACAGGGGTAACAGCTAGTCTGGTACACTTACAAAATCATAGCAGTTGCAAACTCCAGGAAGTTACTGCTCCCAGCCAAGACATAATCCAGACACTTTGTTCATCCCCGAAGGGAAACTGCAGTGTTGCAGTAGCAGCGGTTTACTTAAAATAAAAATCATAGATACAGGAAACATACAGAAGAAAAAAAGTCTTAAACATGTGTTTCTCCAACTAAAGAGTGACACTGATAAGAGTGATATCAATCCACTCAAAAGTGAATAAGCACATTTCCCAAAACTATTAGTTTGGTAGCTTCTGACTTGTTCCTTTGACGTCACATTAGCTAGTGTTTCTCAAAAACCTGCACCACATTTCCAGTAATCCCCTTAGCTAACGTAACACAGATGATGTTGCTAATAGTTATCCTCTGTGTTATGTTTCCTGTTAAGCAGACGGTTTAAAATCCACATGTACTCAAATGGGTCAGCCAACGCGCAAAACTGACCGTTGCAGCTGCTGTGTGTCTTTCTAACACATGGTGGTCACATCTATGAGACATAAAAACTCATCAACATGCAATTACCCTATTGGTCACAATTTACTTAAATGTCTAAGAGGAACAACTAGCATTAGAGGAATAAAATACCAAACCAAGGACAACACACTACAGCCAGAGTTGCCAAATACATAATGGCACATACTTAAATGTCTTGTATCAACTAACCAATAGTCCAAAACCCAGAAAATATTCAATTTACAATCACATAAGACCAAGAAAAGTAGCAAAATAGCCAATCCCGTTCCCAGGCAAGTATTCATTATCATCATATGTACAGAATGGGAAAGTGCAAAGAGCAGAGCAGATGTTTCAGCACCACATCTGCTTTCTTTGTTTACAATTAACCATTTAATATTGCTAAACATTCATTTCACATTTAAGAACCATGACCTTCCAAAAAAGGATTACTGTACTGGATATAGTAGCTGATGGAACTGAATACAAGGACAAAAAAATAGGGTGTGGCGTGGGTCACTCCTCAGCTATCTATTGTCAAATTAATATTACACTCCTTTGACTTGTCCTTCTCCTAAACCGCTGAGACCACAGAAGAAAATGTGGCAAGAAACACTGTGGTGTCACAAGACATTAAACTGAGATGGTTTGCTGTCAGGCTGGCTGTGTGATGTCTCAGCGACTCAGTGTCAAAGTGCCAGCAGTGCTAACACAGCCAGGCAGCATGCGCCACGTCTTGGCTCCTGTTATTGCCAATCTCATCTTAAAGCTGTACTCAAAGGGCGGTCAAGAGTTCCACAAGAGCTAAATTTACACTGAACATAAACTGCTGAGATATAAACTATCATCCGTGATGAATTCCTTGTGGCCACAAATGGAAACTTTGCATTGATTCTGATAGCGTAGCCATGCTACAGTCAGTTTTTTCTCCATCAGAAAACACACATGGCTCTAGGGTTGGCAATGTCTGTCTGTAGGTCCAACACTGTGGTCCAGAATGACATATGTGCTGGATGGACAAAATGTGGTACAGACATTCACGTTCTCCAGATGATGTATCCGAATGACTTTGGTGATTTCTTCACTCAGGTGGAATTTAAATACCTGTCAAACTAAAGACACTCCCATCAGCCTCCGCTGTACTTCGTGTTTAATGCTAATTAGCAACTGTTAGCAAACTAACACTCTGCATGGTAAACATCATACCTGCTTAACATCAGCATGTTAGCATTGTCATTGTGAGCATGTTGGCATTCAGCCTCACAGAGCCGCTAGCAAGACTGTAGACACTTGGTCTTGTTACTTATAAAAAATCATGTCATAAGGCTCCATGTAGAAAAATGTTTTGATTGAAGTCACTGTGAGTAAATTAGCATGTAACGAAAAACTTTTGTTGGTTGGTCTAAGCATTTGCACGGCTCATATCGCATGAAATTGAATTTGGAAAGGGATCATTTATCCTTTTTAAATTGCAACATGATTCGTTTGAATTTCTCTCTTATTCTGTTAAAAAAAATCATTCACGACTCCATGTACCCCCAATTATTGCTACTACAAGTGTGCTACGCTTGTGTCAAGGGACAATTTCACTGACTAGCGTCCATTTTCACTTTCAAAATATCCAAAGCGACACCAACCATAACCACATGCAATCCCACTGAAAGAAAACACTAATATAACCTCTACCAAACTCTCTAAACTAGTAGCAGAGATGGCCTCTGGTTAAATTTTTCAGCTAGCAGAGGTGAGACAGTTCTGTACTTCCTGTGGGTGCTCAGACATCAAACGTGCCAAGACAAATGGAGACAGTAATCATGTTTAGCCTCTGATGTTTTCTCTCTGTTGGGAAACATTACAGCAAGTGATTTTTTTATATTCTGAGTAACATTCTCTTGAGGCTGGTATTTAGTCACTGACACGCACACACTGGCAAAGTTTGACCTCAGTTAAAGATTTTTCTTATGCAAGAGAGCAGGACCGGACACGGCTTAAGTGCCAAAGATGTCTCCAAAAAAAGTGTGTGAAAACAGTGTGTCCCACTATGCTACTATCACATAATTCAATACCAAGTGGAGGAATATAGTCCTTGCTTTGTGTCCACAATGCGTAATCTGAGTTTCACACTTTGTGCTCATTTCACCAAATTTCTGAGGCAGTATTATATTTCCAACAGCAAAGGAGGGGTGTTAGACTTTCAAGTCCCCGCAGTAAGATAGATTACATGGGAGAGGCTTAGGAAATAGATGGATTCACTGATCAATGTGTCAGCAGTGGTCTGTCCTCTCTTAAGTGCTGAAAGTAATCCGAAGTGATTTACAATATTGACCAGGAAGAAGCCTTCTCGAGCTGCCCGTTTCCAACTGCACAGGATCTGATGTAACTATCCCCTGTGCCCATCAATTAATGGAAAGCAATGTGACCCAGGGCCAATATTTCCATGCAGTGAATATTGTCTGATAGGGGTCAATGAGATAAGCACAAAATAAATAAAAATGTTCTTTCTGCAGGGTTTACTTTGACATACCTGTAGTGCATAATTGACAGAAACATTTTGACCATCTTTTGTTGGGCAAGGGTAGACTAAAGGACAAAGGTACAACAGGCAATGGATGAAGGTTGAATTCTAATAATAGACAGAATAATGAAAAACAGAACTTCCCTGTGGGGATCAACCATGTATCACATTACACTGCATGAATCCATCTTTACTGCGGGCTTCATAAAACTGCAATTAAACATCCACTGGGAATAATAATGTAATTACTTTCTGCTATTTTAGATTATGTTGGTCTCAAATATTTACATGAAATCAAGTTAAACATTTTGAATTGTAGTTGCCTGATTTGCACAGACAGAGAAATAATATACATTCACACTTGTTAAAGACAACGATTCGCTTTCTGGCGGAGAGTTAGATGACAAGTGTGGCAGAAATTTCTTAGTGGGTTTAATTCCGGTAACAGGAAAGGTAAGGCAGGTCCCACTTGGGGTCATTAGAAGACCCCATTAGTGTATGTTCACTGACCTGTATCTTCCTAAGTCGTGTGTGTGTGTGTGTGTGTGTGTGTGTGTGTGTGTGTGTGTGTGTGTGTGTGATGGTGTGAGTGGAAACAGAGTCAGAGCAGAGCCACACCAGCTGCACCTCATCATCATAATAAAGATCTCTACAAATACTCAGCCTTGTCACTATGGTTGACACCATCTGGTCAGTTGGTCGAGTGGTTGGTTTCTCATTGGTTGGACAATCCCTGGTATTGCTCTGCTTCTTAATCCATTATTTTTAGGACGGTAGGGACATATGGAGACCTGATGTGTTTTATTTTTGAGTGATTAGGTTATGTAGTGTTAGATTTACATTTACTGGGCTCCAAACTAATTTACACCATGTCAAAGAACCAGCACAAATCACTACACCCCAACCTTAAAGGACAGAAGAGTTGAGTAGATAAAGTTTATTTTTGATGGCAATGTGTGCGTGCATTTCACTTCAGACTGCTTACTTAACGAGAGCCGGTAATAGTTCTAGCTCAGCGATGCATCGATACTCGCTGTCCGTGACCCAACTTGAAAGCTGCAAGTTTTGCCGTGTTTTATGTTGTTTTAGTGTTTATTTTGTAAGTCAGCCTGTTGAACATGCCGTTAGCATGTTGCGCAGCTAATGTGGTCACTTCCACAGGCTGTGGCGATGTTAGACTAATGTTGCAATACTGAGGGAAAGTCAAGAGAAACTGCGTGAACCTTAAGCCTAATTTGAAGCCAATAAAGAGAGCAGTAAGTTGGATGTCGGAAACTGTTTTTTCTTGTTGCTTTTTGTGAAACTTCCTACTTCATACTAGTAGTGGTTTTGTTGTGATCCTCACCAGTGTTGTGCTGTGTTGCTGCTGCTGTATGTAAATTTACTTGATAGACATGCTTGATAGCTGTGTGAAAAAGAAATGGTTAAACTGCAGAAATCAATTTGCTTGGCAACGTTGTGTAACAGTTAGCCCATTTACGCTACCTGGTAGCCTCAATGCAATATGGGCACAAGGTTTTCCTTCTACTTCTACTCTGCAAGTGGATCAGTCAGTCTACGCTTCAAGCCATTTTTTCATACATTGCCAGTTTTCCTGTTGTTGCCAGTTTTTCTCTCCCTCCCCCGTAGACCCGTCTGCTCTGGTTCCAGCCCCTGTCTACAATCCCCTCGTCAGCTCTGCTTCTCTGTTCTGGATCCCTGCTCTTCCCAGCTTCCAGCCCAATCCTGAGCCCCAGGTTCCCCCCTACCAGCCCAAGACCCAGCCCCGGGTTTACAGCTACCTGCCAAATGCACAACCCCATGTTCCCTGCTTGCAAGCTTTCCTAGGACTGTATTCCCTTTCCTCAGCTTTCAGAGAAATTACTTTGTTCAGAAAATCATCATTACCACACAAACTCCGTCACTAGAGTTATCAAAACAATTTGTTATCACACACATAATTACTCACCAAAACTCGATCTCCAACTCGAAGATCCTTATCCCCACCTTTCTTAACCGAACCGCTGTCAGACATGTTGGACCCCGACTCGTTGCCCGTTTTCACTGCGCTGTTGAGGAGGCCCTCTCTGAGTGGCACTACCACCCGCTGGCCAGGAGGGGCGCCACTGCCACCCTGCTGAGTCTGATTCTGGGCACAGAGTGAGTCAGTGGAGTGGCTGTCACTTCCCTCTCCAACCGGCTGTCGGGTGAGCTTCGAGGGTCGCGTGAAGATACCCTGGAGGGGCTGGCACTCAAAGTAGCGCACTCCACCCACTGAACCATCGTTTTTGCCAACTAGGTCATTCAGTATCACGCCTGCCCATTGTCCAGGGGCAAACTGGGTCTCCCCTAGGTAGGCGATAACTCCTAGTTTGACCCCATTGACCCAGACCTGTTCACCCACTGTGTAATCTCCCAAAACATCATCGCCCTCTTCAGAGATTTTAGTTGGTGTGGTGGGCTTGAGTGGACAATCTGGCGAGAAAAGAAAAACATTTTATATTATTTGCCATGTTGCAGAGCAAGAAGTGTGTTCCTATAACACTGGCAACAGCAAGACACATTAACATTACTGAAATAAAACTAATGTTGTAAAACGTGCACAGAAATTAAAGCAATAAGAATTGGAAACCCTTTCTCTTAGATAAAATCCTCCTCATTGGAGGGTCGAGTTGTAAACACTACATACACTGGGAGAACATCCTCATTCACAGTCCAGCAGAATCGACTTCCCACTATTCATCCCGTTTGAACGTATCATGCTGGCAACAAAAAAAAAAGAAAAAACTGCTTGTGTGGCAGCATCCAGCACAACTGTGCAATTTGTGCAAGATTAGGCGTTACTCTAATTCCTCCTGAAAAGTGGGTCAGAGAGATGGTATCTGTAATGTGCCGGTGATTAACTCTGCCATGCAGCCCTGTGATATCGCCTGTTTGACACATAGATGTGCTGGATCTCTGTTTTTTTCCACAGCAGCCTGTAAACTGAGCAGGGCACCATTAGCACGCGGTCTACTGCACCGCAGTGCCAGTAAAAGTCTGTGTTTATCTGTGTATGTGTGTGTGTGCAGGAATGGTTGGTGCCAGGGCTGTCTCCGCGACACCCTGAGAGAAGGCCTCGGGCTTTGTGGGCCCCAATGGTTGTGCTTTATGCCTCAATTGCTCCCATATGTTGTGATGTGAAGCACATTCGGCACAAATGCAAATGGGTACAACTTCAAAGGGGTTTTAACTTGATGATACAGTTTGAAAGTCTTTGGGAATGTGCTGCTTCGAGTATTATTTTGGGGAAAACTGTTGCTGACAGCTTTGCTTGGTCCCGAGTGTTTATCATAAACATGAACTGCAATATATTTAGGAGAGACACCTGAAACATTTTGAGAGTGTAGTCCATTTGCTTTTGTCTGAATCAGAGAAACTGTTTGTTCTATGCTGCAACTCTTAAACACTGCATAAATCAGCTGACCAAAACATATTGACAATCAGAACATTGGAGTACTCAGGTCCCTCGTTGAACTGTAATGTGTCAAAATGAATGTCGCCCAGGGCAAACTGTCATTTAGCATCAACATCAGCCATAAATCACTCTGTGTTTGACCCATATTGCAGTTGCTCACTGCAGCTGGAATCACAGCTGGAATATGAACTCCACTCAAAGCACCAGAGATGGTTCGGAAATGTACCCGAGAAACCTTCCTGCTAGCAAGGTCATGGAGTCCTAAACTTTTTGTCAAGATTCAGTTTGATTTTTATTTTTTTTAAAGTCACATTCGACTTGTGAAAGCAGCAAAAACTGAGAATTCTGAAGTAAATCACAGTCTTAAGATCAAAATGGAAGTCTCTGCTCCTTCTACCGACATCCATATTCTCAATAAGGCTGAATTTACAGTTTCGTAATTGGTAACACAAATAACCACACTGAGCTCATTAGCTACGCCTCACTGTTGCTGCCCTTACTTACAGTTTAATGCTGACTCATCAGAACTGCAAACAAACATTTTTATTTCTGCCTGTATAAACATTATGACTTCTAATAGAGTCTAAGGCCCTCCCCTTCCAGAGGACCACCATGGGACTTTATTTTGTGAATAAAAAAGGACGGTAGTCAATGGCATGAAACAATAATTTTTTTTACCCCATTTAAAACTGTGCCCTGAATTCCAAATATGATGTCTGTCAATTTAAAAGACATTTTTGCAAGTCAAAAAAGTTTCAGTTTGGCGTAAAACTGGGTAAGTAAAAGACTGTGAAAATACGTAATTAGAAAGTGCACAAACCCAAAAGTCACAGTCGTGATGTCATAATGTTTTCTCTCAATCTCAAAGTGAAGCTAATGTCACCGAAGGTAACGTCAAAGAACTTACACGTGTAGATGATGTGATGAAAGGACCGAGAGTGGATTAAACACATTGGGTGAGATACATTCGTGCGTGAAACACGTTACGTACCTAATAGCAACCGAGCAATGAAAGTTAGCTAGCATTACAGTGTTAACATGTAGGTGACATATATTGTGCGAGACAAGCCTATAGCCTATAATTTGTTTTCTATTATTTTTTACTCGATTTAATTACATTTTCTGTCTTTTATAAAGATATTTCTGGGGCATTTTTGCATTTATTTTGAGAGACAGGACAGTGGATAGCAGTGGGAAACAGGGAGAGAGATGGGGGGCAACATATAGCAAAGGGCTGCTGGCTGGAGTCAAACCCGGGCCGCTGCAGTAAGCCTTGTACATGTGGCGGGCGCTCAACCAAGTGAGCTAACCATACACCATTATCATTTAATTTGATGTGGTTTGAGGTTTCAGGGCAGAAGACATAAAGTTAAAGTTGTTTTGGATGAATCAGATCAAGAAATGCAACATGTGATCCTGACCAGCAGACCCAGAGTATTGCTTCAAACCTGAGCTAACCCATGATTTGGGTTGCTGAGGCAACAGGAGAGCGAGGGTAAAAGGATCCTCGGCAGAAGGAAGACTGAAAACACAGCCCTTACTTTCACTATTGTGCTTGGCCACCTCCCACCACCATCTGAATCCCACTATTCATCAGCTCTGCACAATGAAACCTCCACAGCTTCCTCCCGTCCCTCCTCCTCCCCCCAATTATCCACCCATCTCTCCCCGCTTTGGTTACACACACACTCACACACACGCACCTCTTTCTCTGGCCTATTTAACTCTGCTTATTTATGATAATCTTACACAAGGACTATCGTCTTTGCCCTCTAACTTGTTCTTTTTGTTTTAAAGTAGGTTCATTGGTCAGAGGACTGATATTGTGTTATTGTCTTCAGCAGTTGTGGAAGGCTGAGCGCCAAAGACACCAACAGATGGCGGGGACTGATCTTGAATGGGTTCTTTTTTGTTTGTTTGTTTTTCACTTTTGATCATCGTGTTGCTTTTCAAATATACTGTGTTTCAAGGTAATATAATTTTACACATTAAGAAAACCCACAACCGAAGTCTCATGTCCTACATTTTTGGGAAAGAATCCACACGCTCACAAGATCTTTTCTAGGAGCATAGACAGATCAATCATTGTGACGTGTGGCAAAGCAGATGACAGCGGCATTAATACAAGGTGGGAATCAAACCTACATTTAATTCTTTATGTTTTAAAAAGTAGCAGAAGCATATTATGAGATCAAAGAAATACCTCTGCTATTCTTTGAGTGAATTTTCATTTGGTAACATTATTTACACAGGATAAGCGGTTGACGATGAGTGAGTGAGTGTACTGTCCTGTCAGTCATCCATTTTGATTTAGTGAACTCCAAGTTACAGAACGACTGCTGTTATTAAGCAATAATAAGGTGAATCTACAGATTCAGTATGCAGCCTTAACATGTAATCCATCATTTAACAACTGATGTGAAATACTGTTATGGCTCTCATAGGGCAGAAAAGAGGATCCAGTTGTGTATTTGGGAGTTTCTAATAAGTCACCTGTCCCTTTAATACCACTGGGTGTGTCAGGCCATTGTGGCCAATGATGCAAATAAAGCAGCAGGTCTGACTTACTGTCAATATTGGATTTACAGGACTGTTGCATCAATGAAATGAAGTCCTTTGGTTTGTCAGGTTTCATTTACTGGATTAGTCTAAAGCAGATACTTTATTCTGGCTATCTGAGTTTATCTATTTAATTTCCCCCCAAAATTCACTAATTACAAAATAAATCTTGATATAAAATGACACCCTGACAGAAAACGTTATCCAACACCCCACCTCCAAGTACATTTTTAGAAATTCTCATACAGCGATTGCAAGTGTCTCTTCAAACCTCCCCAAAACAAATTAAAGTCAACCTGCTGTCACAGTAAGTGTGACAAATCCACCATGAACAGTTCTTTCACGTTCTTTTCAACCTTATCGTGTATGCTGGTGATTTGGTTGTACATACCACGTACCCTAAATATCCTGGATTCTTATGCAGCCTAGGACCTTATCCACATGTCATCCACCTCTCTGCCATCCTTCCAGGCTCTTGCTGTTATCTCACTGCAAGCTATAATTTATAGCTCTAATCAATGCAGTATATATAACCCCTAATTAAGGACAGCACTGAAACTTGTGGATCTTTTTATCTTGTTAAAGTTCATCTTAAAGTCACACTAATCAATTTTCTGGTATTAACAATGGATCAAATCAGCAAGAGTAATGTAAAAATGGGTCTCTCGTAATGACCAACCCACAGAGAATTAAAACCCAACCCTGAGCTCCTCCCTGCAGTTTTAGTTTTACGCCTGTAACTTTAATGTTTTTGTTCGCTCTCACTGCTCTTCCTGTTTCCAGATAGAGCAAGCAGCTGCTTTCAGCGAAAAAGCTCTGATAAACCCACAGTACAACACCCGCCCAGCAACAAACAACAGACAAAGTTAGCCGTTATTAGCTGGTAAGCATAACTGAAGATTTAGCAGATATACAGCCAGTTACAGTTAATGGAGATATGGAGCATAACAGAGCTTAATTCATCACATCGTCAAACACAACTCCAAATAAATGCTAATGGCTGTGATAATATTCCAATGAAGTGCTAACAGCTTGTTACGCCGACATAAAAATAATAAAATGATGCAGGTTTAAAGCACAAATGACAAACAAACAAATAGTGGAATTGCATAAAATGACATTTTAGATGCAATAAGTGATTATGTATTACTGTATGATGACAACATAGAGTCAAATAAATATTGGAAGCTGTATATCTCCAAAAAGGCAATAGTCTCTAGAAATTTCTGTTGAGAAACCGGCTTCCAAGGTCACAGGAGACGTGGCGTCACGAGAGGTGGCACAGCTCTGTTATTTTCACATCAAAAGCAGCTAGAAGGAAGGCTCAGATACATTCCTCTGTCCGCTCATAGACTACTGCTTCCTCCAGAGGGTAAAACAGTAAAGAAAAATCTGCCAACTTCCGAAACAGTGGCCCCTTCTCACAATCTTCCCAGCTAAAACCAACAAACAGGGGGGTTGAGATTTGGAGTATGTGGCCAGGTCAGTGAAACTATCTGGGGCAGGAAACTAATCCTTCCAACCACTAACGGAGGCATCAGTATTGTCCCGCCGATATCTTATTAGTGTTTAATAGCCAAAGTGGGTTAACAGGAGGAATATAACTGAAAATAATTAATGAATCGTGATCATCATGGGTACATTAAAAACAGGGAGATTGACTGACTAACCAGCCAACTGACCAACACAGACTCCAGACATAAGTCTCCGCTAATAAAGTAAGAACAAAAAGGCTTCTATGATCTGGATGCTTTTCGAGTATTGAACAGGCTTGTTCACAAGCAAATAAGAGTATTTTATATTAATCCATTAAGATATCCCTAATTATTTTCTAGCAACAATCAACATACAATTCAGTTTTTACTCTCTTTCCATTTACATTGTAACTAGTCACACTTAAATTCTAGATATATTTAATGTACTTCATTAGATTTCTTTCATTCTGCACATTTAAAAAATATCTTAATCATCTTTTTGAATGGCTAAAAGTCTAGTCAAAGTTTATTTGGGAATATGGAGTTTCATATATATAAACTACACTGGTCATATCTTGAATTTAAGTAAATAACATCATCATAATTCCTTTAACGATATCAACAAAAATATTCTGGATATGCTTAAAAGGGTTATTTGGGAAAGCCATTTCAACATAAAAAGGTTTGATTGATTATCCCTAATTACATTTTATATATCTACATTTTGAGTAGTTATTTGTCAAAAATAAATTGTGGATATCTCTAATGTGAATCTCTTTAGTTTAATATAGTAAACGACAGTGTGATGATGTTTATAAAATCATTATCGTTATCTTAATTATTTTTGATTAGACAAAATTACACGCAGAAAGTACAACATTGAGAAATGCGAGCAATGCATGATGATTGTGTATTTTCTTTTGTGGTTAAACAGGATGTGGGCAAACTAATGAGTTCACGTATGGTAGAAACAAACTGTTCAGACCACAGGTAAGAGTTTAGATGAGCACTAGTCACATAAGTACAACTACCTAACAGCTGACGAGCCCTGAGCAACAAGCTTCTGTCCTCCATGCAACATTAAGGGATTAGCTTTCCGAGCTGGTAATAGCTGAGTTCAGGATGATTTCAGATGCAGTCTGAGCTGTTCTGTCTTCCACACAGAAGGAAACAAAAACGATCACCGGACCAAACACACTGGTCCCACTTGGATGGATAAATGAAATAAATTTTTGTTTACTCTCTGCTTATAGATAGCTTTAGGAAAACTGAGGAAAATAATATGCTTATTATGCTTAGATGCGTGTTTTAGATATTTAACATTCAAGATGAGTGCTCAGATGATTGCTCACACATCTTATTATCATTTCACTAGAGTCAAGCATATTAAATTATCAAGGTAATCATACAGGCATGATGAACAGGAGGTAGAACAGTTATCTAACAACTTTCTTTAATTTACTATTCACAGAGTACTCCTGTTCACACATATGACAACAAATATGAACTGGAGTTGGATTGCAGTCACTTGAAAGTCGGGCTGGTCGATATGGCCAAATATGTTATCATGATAAAGAATTTCACATCATTGGATATCGATAATTATCACGATAAATGTGAAATAATTATTTATTTTAAGTTTAAAGGCTGATTTTTGCTCCTGAGTGAAGGTTGAAGAAACCAGATGGGTAATTGTGATTTTAAACTTTTCTTTTTGGTCGGAACAAACACTTGATGCCAAACAGTGGATCACTTCACTAATCTGAGGATAGGATAAAATGTTTAGTCCCCTTTCCTCAAAAAAACAAATATCTTAAAAAGTGCTATTTCGTTGGTCATTCAAATGAATGAAATATTTTTATTTATAACATTTATTAAACATTTGTTATATTGTTATTGAGGAAAATTATATCGTGATAATTATATATAATTATTGTTTCATTGCCCAGCCATACTTGTAAGCATTCTTAATACTATTATATACAGCTTAGATTTGACACTGTGATAGTTAAAACTAAGAAAACCATCAACACACCAGTAATATTATATATATATATATATATATATATATATCTTTGTTGGCAGTGCACTAAAGTAAATGGAAACCGTATAGGATTCAGTAAATAAAACACTACTGCTGTTTTTTCTCATGAAATTCCACAGTCAACATGAACCATGACACACTTGTAGCTGCCTCTGATAAAAGCTCCGCCATACACACTGATGTTAATGAGAATCAAGCATACAATCAGCCAAGGAAGGCAGGCTATTCTTCTGTTCTGTTCACTTAGAGCTGCGAGTGAAACTGTAATTTAGCAGAAACAGAACTACCGTGCGTGTGAAGCTGGTGGGATGGGGCAGTTATGTGAGCTAAAACTGGGGAGAATAAACAAAGCGGCTGCATAAGGGTGAGAACAGCTGTGATTACGTTTTGCAGGCAGGGGTTGTAATTTTCATTCTGAATGTTTTTCAGACATGTCTAATTTTGGTGAGTAGGCAGTTTTACAGTAGCTTTAAGGTCAAAGAATAAGAGTCATGTGTCCACATTTTCATTTCAGATTTCTCATAAAGCATAAGGATGGCGATATTCTGTATTTAATATTATTATTATATTCTGTATTTTTGTTCATGTCAACAAATCCCATTTAAAGACCAAAAACCAACTGTCCGTCTCTCAATACTTTACTAATGAAGGAACGTGTCAGCCGATGCAACAGTGTGTCTCACTGATGTGTTTTTAATAGTTTTCAACAACAATGGAGCTCTCAGAGGGGACTAAGCTCCATCAGGCCCTGGATACACAGACAATACTTCTTTGTAGGATCAATTTATTAGTAGTTTTGATCTTTTAACAAATATAAGAAAAACATAGAATATCACCAGACTTATCCAGGAGCAGGTTTATTTCAGACATTCTTTTCATCTTAATTATAATAAAGCTGTATTGTATTTTAAGACTTTCTATTCCCTGCAAGTGGACGACAAGTGCCCTTTTATGTTTATGTGCCCTTTTGTGTTTCACATTAATTTAATCATTTTTATAATTAAAAATATGATTAGTGCAGCTTTAAAAAAAATCACTACACAAGAGAAACTGTATGAATGAAAGTATCTCTTATTATTATACACATTCATGTTTATTGGTTTATGACACACTGAATTACGCATTGTAGCAAGAACTTTATTTTAAATGGAGAGAGTGGCTCCCTGAAACTGCTGAAAGCTATCAAAACGTTGCATTGGAGCTCTCTGTAAAGACACTGGAAGATTAAGTTAAGGAAAACACTTCCCAGCTTCTATGTGAATGTAATCTAATGCAGCTGCGCTCTACTGAGTCATTCACATAAATAAATGGTCTGAGCCACTTCCGGTAATCAGCAGAAATAACTGGAAGAAATAAATTCCTTTTATTTTCCACGGGGTCAGAAGCAGGAAGTAACTTACTGTCTTTCGGGACAACGGGGCTAGAAGTTCCACCCGCTGAGGTCCTTCCCACTGGGCTGGAATGCTTGGGCCCCCGGCCAGGGATTTTCAGTCCACTGGACTTGAGCATATTCATTCTACAGTAGCAGGGACACGGCCAGGATCTGAGAGCTCCTCCCTGGGTGATGAAGGCTTGTGGACCAGCACTAGATGTGGGAGTGGTGGCTGTCGCTCTCCATGTTTAGCTGTTGGAAGGGGAAAGGAGGGATAAGGCAGTCATAAATATAGGGACAATTATAACAGAAATAAGCAGGTAAATAAGCAGAATGAGGGGTAAGCTAAAAGATGCATTCTTTAAGTGCATGCTTATGTGTCAACCAACCTCCAAACCTGTAAGCATGAACCAGACTGCTCAACAACTGGAAACTGGTTTTCACAGGATCAAGAATATATGAGATGACGTGGTCATAATGTTCTGTAGCTGCTTGTACAGTCTGCTAATGTATTTTTTCCAAAGGTTTTCATTTGTGTAATTTCCAATCTTATTAGTTACATGGAGACAGACATGTTTTATATTTTGTGCGTACTTTAGATCTGTGCAAGGATTCATAGTTCACCAAAGTATCAGCTGTGAAGCAGCAAAGTGGGGGTCCGGACCCACTGAGGAGTCTAACTTGTATTCTCCGTTTTTCCAGTATTTCTTGTGAAATTCTTCGCACTTGTTCCTCCTCAGACTTCTAAAGTCCTGAAAATGAAACACTGAGAAGGAAGGATGACTGTTTGGCTGTTGAACTTTTCATAACTCCTGCCCACGCGAGGCCATTAACGGTGGCAAGGGGTTACAAGTAAATGAAAAAAAAATCACAGTATGCGTCTTTCACATATATTTTTGGTCTTCATTCATACTTTACTCTCCACAAAAAGGACAGAAAACAATAAAAGCATATTGGGATTTGTTCAGGAATCTGAAATACTCCTCCACACCATTCCCAATTGGCACCAGTAATGTGGGAGGCTTAATACATAGCGCTATGGGCTTATTTCTGGCAGTGAAAATGTTCACATTTGTGTTGCTGGCTGTTCATTACGGAAGAGCGAAAGGTAGAAATATAAATTAATGAGGCTCTTTTCCAAAATTGTAATTCCACTAGTGCCCCTGAGCAAGGAGCTCTCAACTGGAGCAACCACACGCTGTGGTATCACAGGGGCGCTCCTACAGATCAGAGCTGACATGTTTTATCTTTAGATTTGTTTTTGTGCTTGTTATATTTTGCCTGGCAACACCTGGCAATCCTACTGCAACATTTGAAAGTGTGCCTATATTATTATTGTGATCACCCTTAATAAAACTCCAAATTCTTCATATATTATTTCATAGCCAACTTATCAATTCCACCAGAGTAAAAAATATGACAGAGCCAATGTAGGCCGGTGCCCAAGTGGAGCATGGCCTACAAATCATGGCCCAGAGCCCATTAAGAAGATATAATGCTGTTAAAGCCTAGAATAAACAACACACATCTGGTTTAGCCTTTTAAATTAGACAGCAAGTGTTAGGAAAGAAAGCAAGCAGGTTTCCGCAAAGCTAGTTAATCATTTTCTATAATATTTACACTCATCCAGATAACGACAAAAGAGACATTTTCATTTAAGAACAATAAATCATATCAAAACTGTCGAAAGGGATGGTGTTGGCCCTTGAGTCTCGACTGCTGTGATTTTCAAATGGCCTAAGCTGTTCTTCACAAGGGCCTACAGTCATTTCCCAATCGACACCTTATTTTAGTGAAAGCAGGATGAAAGCATTGGGACGATAATGCGCACCTCAACAAAATGCAACACAACGCCAGTTTGATCCATTGTTGTAGCTACTGCGGCAACGTGGTCCAGACTGTCCTTCACTTAAACCCCGAGTCCCTCCCAGCAAAAAATGACATAAAAGCACATTAATACAGGAAAATACTCACCTTTCTATGTGATATTAGAGCGTCTGAGAGGTGTCCGACAACCGGCCAACTTTCAGCTTTCTTGCCAGGAAAAGGGGGATTAGTGGTTGCCACTCCCTGGGATGCAAATATGGATGCTGAGCAGAAACTGAAAGGGAGAGTCAGCGTGGATCAGCGGATGATGGCAACAACTGCACAGTCTCAGCAATACACCGGTGATGGCTTAGCAGCTAGCCTGCCCGGTTCATTTTTTCAGGATGATAGCCAAGGAAGCTACCAAATAGCGAAGATTGTCGAGACGTATCGCTGTTTTGTTTTAGTAGCCGGACACTGGCACGCAGGTCCTGGTGGTTTCCGAAACGAAACGCAGCATCAGCAACAGTCAAAAGCAACTTTCCTGTTGTCTGACTCTGGTTAAACAGTCTTGGTATGTACTCCCGGATAACCTTAGCTATTTTTCCGGCCTCTTTTCGCTGCTGTCGGTGTTCCCACAGTGGTACGGAATTGTTGGTTTAGCACAGCCTCCCTCTGACTCAACCCACCGGCTAGACTGAACAAAGGGGCTGGGAAGCAGAGCCTCCTGGGGGTGTGATGAGAGCAGACTACAGTCTAGCTCATCTCCGTGACGTTCTCTGTTTAAAAGTATAGGGATTTAATCAGGGTCGTGCTTATCGGTCAAAATACATGACTCACCAAGGATGACTCAATACAGGTTCACGTCAGTGGTACTCTGTTTGTATTCGGCATCAATAAAATTGACAAAATAAACATTTTTCGGAATAACATGCCACATTTATGACGCTGCTCACAATACTGTACACCGACCGTCGACAGTGCATCTTCAGTGGGAAACATCTGGGGTACCAATCATATAAATCAAAACTTTACACAAATACATGGTGTTTAAAACATTATACGTACGCCGAACTGAAAAATGGTTTCTAGTGTTGCATAAAAATATATTAATTCACAAAAAGAACACTGCGCTTACGCCAATAACTAAGAAAACGCTAAATATATACAAAATATAATAGCAGTTTGGTGCATGATTCTCTTTGAGACAGGATCACAGCCAAGCTGAAGATCGTTTACCGTTTGAGATATCTGAAACATTATTAATATATGGAGTGATGATAGGAGCCAACTAGCAGTTTGCACTCAATAGCCGCGGTCAACACTTGATTTATCTCTGATAATGTGGGTGGGGCCAAACCCGTTTCTGTGGATCACTTCAGCTTTTCCGGCTGGATTTAAAACGTTCGTATTGGTCAGTGGACCCATAAATCGACACTGGGAAACACAGATTGGTCAGCTTGTCTGCTACTGGGAGTGCCCCAGTTTGACAGCTGTACCGCGAAAACAGAGACCTCTAATGCTGGATATATACAGTCTATGATCTAGTCCTTATGTAGCCTTCACTTTTCCCATAGACTGTAGGTTTTACAAGTTAGTTTACTTAAGTGATTGCAATTTTGAGTTAGGCCTACTTGTACTTTACTTGAGTATTTCAATTTTGTGCTACTTTATATCTACTACAATTTGGAGGAAAATATTGTCTACTTTTTACTTCACTACAATTAGCCTATGTTACTGTGTAAATTTGGATTGGTAAAACAAAATATAAATCAACTAACACATTATGATACTATTATATGTTAAACTACCCAGATTAATCATCTCATCTGTGAGATTAAAAGTGATGTACACAGTTATGCATCACTAATTGTTATCCAAGAATATGATGTTATGTTATGTATTATTAAGCATATTTGGATGCTCATGTTATTTACTTAAGTTTTATTTTTAATACACAAAAGAAGATGTTTACTTGTATTTTTACACTGTGTTATTGCTACTTTTACTCAAGTAAAAGATCTGAATCCTTCTTCCACCGCTGCTTTTTTGATTACAATTTGCTTTGCAGATTTAACTTGTCTGTATAGCTTATGTTGTTACTCATTTACTGATGTCAGTTTAAAGTATTAGGAAGGAAGGAAATACGGTTATTTGCTTTCTTGCTGATGTTGTGAGTGTGGTTTGTGTTCATGTTTTTCTGTTTAAGTCTGTTTTTGGTTCTGTGTTTCTCTGTGTAGCCTTGTTTATTATTTTATTCATTCACATGTTTTAGTTTACTTAGTATCTGTCTTGTCTCTTATCTTAGTTCTTAGTCCTGCATTTTAGTTCTTTGCCTCAGTTCTTAGTCCTGTGCCTTAGTTCATGTCCTAGTGTTACTCCTGGTCTGTGTGCTTCTGTGTTTGTTATTATTTAGGTCTTGTCTACTGTTTCATTATAGTCTCTGTTTGTTTCTCTGTCTTTGGTTGTCCCTGTCTATTCTCTCCTTGTGGTCCTTAGTCCTGTGTCTCCATGTTAGTGTAGTCCTGTTTCCTGTTTGGTCCTGTCTGTGTTCCCTGCCCTGTTTTTTTTCCGTTATGCAGTTGTTCTCTGTTTTTTGTTTTACTTTGGTAACCCTGTTCTTGTGTGTTTCCATGAGATTTACTTCCTGTTTTATTTTGTAGTGTTCTGTTCTCTTGTGTCCTTGTCTAGCTTTGTTTCCTGTTGTTTATTACCTGATGTGTTTCAGCTGTGCTTCCCTCCCTGCTGGTTTGCCTGTGCATACAGGTGCTGGTCATATAATTAGAACATCATCAAAAAGTTGATTTATTTCTGTAATTCCATTCAAAAAGTGAAACTTGTATAATGTATACATTCATTCCACACAGACTGATATATTTCAAGTGTTCATTCCTTTTATTTTAATGATTATAACTGACAACTAATGAAAACCCCAAAATCAGTATCTCAGAAAATTAGAATATTGTGAAAAAGTTCAATATTGAAGACACCTGGTGCCACACTCTGATCAGCTAATTAACTCAAAACACCTGCAAAGGCCTTTAAATGGTCTCTCAGTCTAGTTCTGTAGGCTACACAATCATGGGGAAGACTGCTGACTTGACAGCTGTCCAAAAGACGACCACTGACACCTTGCACAAGGAGGGCAAGACACAAAAGGTCATTGCTAAAGAGGCTGGCTGTTCACAGAGCTCTGTGTCTAAGCACATTAATACAGAGGCGAAGGGAAGGAAAAGATGTGGTAGAAAAAAGTGGACAAGCAATAGGGAGAGATTCACAAAGAGTGGACTGCAGCTGGAGTCAGTGCTTCAAGAACCACCACGCACAGACGTATGCAAGACATGGGTTTCAGCGGTCGCATTCCTTGTGTCAAGCCACTCTTGAACAAGACAGCATCAGAAGCATCTCGTCTGGGCTAAAGACAAAAAGGACTGGACTGCTGCTGAGTGGTCTAAAGTTATGTTCTCTGATGAAAGTAAATTTTTCTTTTTTTCCTCTAGAAATCAAGGTCGCAGAGTCTGGAGGAAGACAGGAGAGGCACAGAATCCACGTTGCTTGAAGTCCAGTGTAAAGTTTCCACAGTCAGTGATGGTTTGGGTGCCATGTCATCTGCTGGTGTTGGTCCACTGTGTTTTCTGAGGTCCAAGGTCAACGCAGCCGTCTACCAGGAAGTTTTAGAGCACTTCATGCTTCCTGCTGCTGACCAACTTTATGGAGATGCAGATTTCATTTTCCAACAGGACTTGGCACCTGCACACAGTGCCAAAGCTACCAGTACCTGGTTTGAGGACCATGGTATCCCTGTTCTTAATTGGTCAGCAAACTCGCCTGACCTTAACCCTATAGAAAATCTATGGGGTATTGTGAAGAGGAAGATGCGATACGCCAGACCCAACAATGCAGAAGAGCTGAAGGCCACTATCAGAGCAACCTGGGCTCTCATAACACCTGAGCAGTGCCACAGACTGATCCACTCCATGCCACGCCGCACTGCTGCATTAATTCAGGCAAAAGGAGCCCCAACTAAGTATTGAGTGCTGTACATGCTCATACTTTTCAGTTGGCCAACATTTCTAAAAATCCTTTTTTGTATTGGTCTTCTAATTTTCGGAGATACTGAATTTGGCATTTTCATTAGTTGTCAGTTTTAATCATCACAATTAAATTAAATAAACATTTGAAATATATCAGTCTGTGTGTAATGAATGAAAATAATATCCAAGTTTCACTTTTTGAATGGAATTACTGAAATAAATCAACTTTTTGATGGTATATTGCCCTCAGTGGTATTTAGTTTTTGTGACGTCCTCGTCTGTGTTGAGTGTTCTGTCCCGTCCCTGTGCTTTTGGATTATTTTGTTGGATTGTACCTTGTTCTTTGTTCATGGACTCTTCCCTTTGGATTATGTTTTGTTTGGAGTTACGAAGCCTTCAACACAATGGTGTTTTTTGAAAATGAAACCATGTAAACCTGTTCTGGTACAACCCCTAAATAAGATTTTGAACCTGAAAATGAGCATAATACCACCTCTCTAATAAATCTTTATTTGAAGTGCAACCACCTCGCCTACAGTCTACATTTGGGTTCGCACCGCAGTTCTCTGCTTCTGCACTCAGCTGCCCATGACAGCTGAGAGTTAGATAAAAAGCGGCCACACAATATGAACCATTTGGTTTTATGGCCTGCAGCTTTTGTTCAGTCTGCTCTCATCAATCCCATTTCCTGCCACAGGATGATGCTGTTTTCAGGGAAAAAGCTCTGATAACCCCACATTATTCTACCCTATTCTACTCTCACTTAGTGACTTTAGCTGTACATTCATCAGGTGAGCGGATTCATGATAACATGATTGCTAATGTTACTCCATGTCTAGATGTCTTAATACATAAGCTTAGTGATGGTTGTCACAATAAGACAAGCATTAATACAGCAGATCCAGTATCCAGTACTAAACTTGTTTTACAGTGGTCAGTGAAATACATTTTACGGCTGGTACACTGTGTTCTGTTGGTTTTCAACCACACAACACAAACCTGGCAGGCTGGTCAGTTATTGCATAAAGTCCGTTTGGCTGCCAGAGGAGGGAACTAGAGATGCCTTCTAACAAACCTCCTACATCCTTTCAGGTGGTGGCAGTATACTCCACTTTCAGATGTAGCCGGGATGACAACAGATTAATCTTGGTACTTGGACACAAGACATAAAAGACAAAAAAGGGTGGGAGCAGATTTGTACAAAGCTCAACAAGAGTGAATGAGTTTGTAAACCAAATTGATGGTGTGGAACTTCTCTATGTGATAATTCTCAAGCAACTTGTTAGTTTTTACTTGTACAGTGTTTTCATTTTACTAATAGCATTTGATGAGGTGAAGGGAACTTAGAAGAGATATCCTAAATGCAATAAATAATAAAGAATAATCAGCAATGCATGGAACATTTAACTTGACACAAGTTACACGGATAATAACAGTCCTACATAACATTTCGATCATTAGCTAGATTGTGAAGTAATTTGACATTAGTATTTTAAATATTAGTAGTTTTATGTGTTAGTATTTAACAGTGCAGTTTTGTCACTATTGACCACTAGAGGTCTCTCAAGTTCTGTAAATTAGTCAACTACTGTATGCTATTTATCTGAAACTTGCATATCTGTCACAAAGCAACAGGTCAGAGAAAATCATTTCTGTGTGTGCTGTGTTGTGTGTTTTCCCTGTGCGAACAACAAAATGCCCCTAATTGTGAAATATTTTCCTGTCACTGGCTTTCCAAATGACATCTCACAGAATTAAGACTGAAAATAGCCCAAATAAAAGAAATGTAAATGTACCTGATTTAACTTTGAAAAACAGTTTCTTCAGGAAGAATAATTTCTCTAATTTCTGAATGCAGTTTCTTTCTTGCAGTGTGTGTGTGTGTGTGCGTGCGTGTGTGTGTGTGTGTGTGTGTGTGTGTGTGTGTGTGTGTGTGTGTTGGGGTTGGTAAGTGTGACTCCAACATCTCCACACAGGAGTCCTGAGGTGTGAGCTCCTCTCTGCATCATCCAACATCTCTGGAAAACGAGACAAACTGACAACAGATCAGTTTCACACAAGGTCACAGTGAGACTGAAGGATAAGACTATGAAGTGAAATTTGTTGATGTGTGTAGAAGTATTTTTCCTCAAAAGATGAGACGTATTCTCTGCTACTGCAATGTAGAGCAGATCTATAGAGTAATAAGAAGAATAAAACACAACACAATATCAAGTACTGTGCTATTGTGTATCTCTAGGCCCTTTTAGCTTATTTCTGTTCTTTATCCCTCAGAAAACATCACATCAGTAACTTTAAGATATTTAACACAAGGAAATCCCATTACTCTGCTTCACTCTCTTACCGTCTGCTGTTTGATCCATAGACTACACAGTTTGATCACAGCAAGTTTAAACAAAACAGTTCTGAAACCATCTGGTTCGTTGTCACCATCTAGTGACATGAGCCACAAACTACATCCTCCTCCACAGAGTTCAAACCAGGTTCAAACTCTTCGAGATCTTTTCTTCTTTTCTTTTTAACCCACAGGGATTTTCATGCTTTCAGTTGATTTTAAGTATTTCATGCTTCTCATGTGTTGAGGTATTTCTTTAACCCCTCTGAAATGACTTTAACAGCAGTAGTAATTGGATAAAAAAAGTATTCACCTGAAAAATGGTTTGGACTAAGACCTTTTGTTCTAATGAAGGGGAATCTTCTAGCTGGGGTAGGCAACTTTGTAGAAATAGCAAGAGACAGCTAGATTTAGAAAGTATTGAACCGCAAAAAAATCCCGCCCCTACCCTCAAGCCTCCCTCCAAAACCATCTGGTAGGCAGGTAGTCAGTCCGAATGAAATGATTGGCTGTGCTTATTACAGTCAGATATACCAGATTTCTTTCAATTTTTGTGTCGAAGCATTTGATTTATTGATTGCTGTCGGGATGTAAAGAGAATTTCAACTAAAATAACAAAAAATAAAATAAAAATGCTACTCACCTTCCTCAGCTTTAACGTAATTATAAGTAAGATTATTGTCAACAAAATACAACAACAACAAAAAACCCAGAATAAAACAGAAAGGTACAGGATTTACACTGAGGGTTAAATTATTCAAGCAAGTGAAAATAGACAGGTCTCAAGGTCAGGTCTCAATTTAAAGGTCTCAGTGGTGTTTGCCTCTCTGATCAAGTGTGATAAATTATTTTGCAGTAGTGGAGGTCAGAATGAAAATGCTCTGCTGGCAGTGGAGCGCATACTAATCTTCAGGATACTTAGACAACTAAGTCGTCCTGTGATCTGAGTGTACAGGGTGGAACATTGGGACTGAGAGGTTGAGGGGATGACAACAGTTACAGTCCAGGTGGTCCAAGATGTTTGTAGGTAATAAGCAGTAGTCCCAATGTACCTGAGTACATTTACTCAAGTATTAAAATTTGAGATACTTTGCTTGAGTATTGAGTGTTTCATGAAACTTCTATATATACTTCTACTACGCTATATTCAAGAAGGAAATATTGTACGTTTCTGACAGCTTTTTGTGACAGCTTTAGTTACAGTTACTTTACAAAACTTATGAAGAGCTGTATGAATCATAATCTACAAAACAGTATATACAAGCACAGCTTAAACGATTAGTTGGTAAAGCAGTTTGTCAATTGACATAAAATTAATTGACAACTATTTTTGTTGTTAGTCATATCCCATGCAAAAAACATGTCATGGTTCCAGCTTCACAAATGTGAGGATTTGCTGCTTCTCCTTTTATTTATTTTAATAATTTTGAGATTTGTACTGTTGGTTGGAAAAAATACATAAGCGTTGTTAAGGTGTCACTGTGGAATCTGGGTAACTTTAACGCCATTTCTCACTATTTTCAGAAATTTTACAAACCAAACAATGAATGGATCAATGGAGAAAACATGATGAAAATAATCATTAGTTGTAGTCTGATACAAAATAGTAAAAAAATTGCTCGACCTCAACCAACTAGCAGCAGCGATTCTGCATTTAATACTTTTACCACTTTAAGTACTATTTCTTCATATTACTTCTATAATTTTACTTAACTAACATTTTCATTGCATGACTTTTACTTGTAACAGAGTATTTATTTAATAGTGATTATTACTTTTACCACAGTAAATAAGAAGACTTCCTCCACCGATGGCAAATGTTTTGTGTGCTCATCAGTCAATGCATGTAAAATGGGGTAACTGTGTCTGCTCCATTCAATGTATGCAATGAAGTTAGACAGACAAGCATTTTGTCTCACACTAATATATTTATTTACTCATTTTGTATGTGCTCAGTATCTGTGAAGACTACCCTTTTTAGAGCATACTGTACCCCTATGTATACTGCCTATTTGTGTTGGTGCTACAGAAAGAGCAGTAGGCAGAAACTCAATGTAGCATATAATGATGGCTCGAGGCTGCTGCTTAAGGTGCCACGATGGAGCAGTGCAAATGTTTGTCAGTGTTGGCGTGCCCACCTGCTCTGCTGTGCTGCGCAATCTCATGTACAGATGTAAGTGTAGGTTATCTGACTCTGCATACAGTATACTTTCAGCACTGATGAGTCCGGCGCTAAGATCATTGGAGTTTTAGCCTATATGTAAATATGCAATATTGTGGACTGTTTTTCTTTTGTTTATTTTGTGTTTGTCTGATTTTATTGTATGTATTTTCACCAGGTGTGTGTGCTTAATAAAGCTTTGATTGAAATACAGTCTACTGAGATGGGGCCGTGGTGAAGTGAATACAGAATCTGTGTTGTGTGTATTAGTTAGATGTATCCTGCTGTGTTTTGGACTGGTTTGACTTTTTTATGATGCAACAAGGTAGACCTGAGAACAGCATGATACAATTGAGCTTTGTGGCAGCTGTTTGTGTTTGTCACTTTCCTGTTTCAACATGTCAGTGTTTTGTGGTAAGAATTGCGAGAGAGAGTGGAAGCGGAGATCAATGGCCATAGTTTTGGAGTGGCATGTTCAACAATTAGGTGCAAAATGTTCAGATATACTCAAAGTTAAGGCATATTTTTGGCATGTTTGTCTGTTGTTGAGCACCAGGAGTGTGTCTGATTTTGATTGTTTTGGTGTTCTGAGTAGCATTATTCATAGTTTTTCTGTGTATGTATTCCATGCTCTTCTCATTCGTTTTTACCACCAGCTAGTCACAACAGAATGACAAAGGGTCACAGACACATGACCTGAGCTGCCTCATTAATATGCCGTGTGTCCAGATAATGCCCCTCTGTGATTTATAATAATGGCTCAGTGTTTCTGAATGTGTGGACGTTGCCCTCTCAGTCCACTTCGCAGGGGAAGTGGCTGGATTACACGCTAATCCCATTATGATGCTGCTGCTATGTGAGGGCTGCTTGGAGGGATTAGGAACCAAAGGCTCGAGCTCCAGGACAGGATCAGCAGCAAACCGGGTGACTCTAACTGTGACACAGACTCTAATGGCACAAGTAAACAGTTTATATGATACAGTCACAGACTGACAAGATAGGGCAATGTCTCTTTGCAATATCATCTGGAGATACACTAACATGGTATGTATAATTTGTTATCATGGTTTGATGTTTTTGTAGCTCTAAGGCATCAGCAGTTTTCAAATGGACAACCCAGCAAACAGTTGATGGATGATGACGTGCAGGAGGCAGCCAAGTTTGGTGTCAGCTTAAATGAGCAGTAAATTCACAATATGTTATGGAAGGGTAAACAGAGTTTGTATGGAGTCTGGAATGTGCCATCAAAATTATTCTAGACATCAACGGTGTTTAATTAAAATCAATTACAATACAAAACTTATTTTTTAAAGGCAAATTACAAATTGATTTAATAAATTAATATTTAAAGGATGCATCAAAAAAAGAAATTAAATGTTCCCATTCTAATGCCTTATGGTGTTTTAACATTATATAGTTATGCATGGTGTGGTTGGAAGGCGATTTGTAATATTTTTTGTACTAAATTTCTTCTTTAACTTCTATAGAAGCTGTTCAGTTACATTTTGAAGGACTTTCCTAAAAATCATCAGTAAAATCAGTCAGAGACACGTTATTCCTTGAAGAGCAAATTAATTAAATTAAACTTTTTAGGAGACTGGCTTGTTGCTGGACTTTCCTGCTACATTCTGTGAGCAGAAAACCAGAAATCACTCATTTGTTCCTGTAAAACACTAGCCCACAAACACCGCCCACATCTATGATTTGTTAAGTGATTCAAAGAGTAAGTAAAATATAGGGAATCTAATTAAACAAAAGGAAATTCTGTTTGATTATCGGGCTGGTTAAACACAAGACTGCTTCAGTGATTAATGCTATCCATGAACATGAATTTACAGTCATAAGGCTACTTAATTATAGCTGTTCATTCCAGTCATATTTCAGGATCTTTTTCAGGTAAACAAAAATGTTAATCAATGTGGTGGAGCGATTTTTACCTGTGCACAATTACTCGTCAAAATAACCTGTACAGAACCAGTGGAAATTTTTCTAAACTACACTGTTTATATTTTACTTTACCAAAACCACTTTTAAAAGTTATTTTTATTAACATTTTCTCATTTTTAAACTAATGCTAATTTTACTATTGTTTAACATTTTGTATGCTAAAGTGTTAACATGGACTATAAAGGTAAAAGTTTAAACTGGGAGATTTTGGTGTGTCATGTTAAAAGGGTGATTTGACAAAACAAACAACACTTATTTACTTACTTACTTTATTAACTGTTTTTGATCTCTAGAGGTTAGTCTTTTGTTGAGCCATTGGAACTGGACAAAAGACTCTGAGGACAACTGATTATAGACTTTATCAATGAACAAAGTCATGAATTCACTGACTGAATCATGAGAACAGAGCAATATGGGAAGGAAGGAAGGAAACGATAAATTAAAATTAAAGTAATGCCCAGACAAACACATTGTTTAATGTTTACCTTTAGTCTATTGTCTTATTTCAAAATCATGTCACACAGACGGAAATGTCTTTGTTGAAAAATGCAAAATAAAAGATGTAAAATAAAACAAAAAACTATTAAAATAAATGAAGACACACATTCATCCTTCCCCATCTCTCTTGCTTCAGGCTGGTTTGTTCCATTGCTGCCTTTAATTAAAAACACAAAAAAAAGCTCACAAGCAATTTTTGGGATTTCTGCAGACTGAAGAGACTCGAGAACATGAAAGGATAACTGTTCTCGAGCTCTTTTCAGTTCATTATATTAAAATGACACTTGCTGAATTAAACATTTCTCACTCAACTATAAAGAAAACTAATATCCTGAAATGTTCGTACTCTTACAGGGGTGTGCATGACGATTTGTTTTTGGACAGAGCCGCTGCCGGTGGTGTATCATCTGTTTTGGAGAAATGACCGATGAGGGAATGATTAACCTGGCTGGCAATAAGGATGAATGTGTGTGTCACTGTCAGAGGTGTGTACATGACAGGAGGTGAAGGTCTGGATAAGGGACAGAGATCACACACATAAACAAAGACAGCAGAGTATCTGACCCAGACAGAGAGACAGTGACAGAGAGACAATATGCAGGAACACAGACTGTAACAGCGTCTATTATTCTGCATTACTGGTGGTTTTAAGTGGATTTCTTCTGCAACAGGCAGTATATCGAACTCAAAGGATCTTCTTAAAAAGCATTTGTTCTGAAAGTGTTTTTTGGCTCGCTTAGTCCAAATGCAGCCAGCAGAGTAGGTGCCATTTACAAGAACAGGAGCAGCACAGCAGCTGCGACTATGACAAGGTCTGAGGAAGCAGTCAGAGTATAATACAGCAAGCAAAAAAAGGAATTTTTTTTTCCACTGGAGAAGCAGGAGCAGGTTCAACAGAAATACCAGTAGTGAATACAATCGGTTCTGGCTGCTGGCTCTGCTGTGTCTTCATCCTCTACCTCCTCATCCTCTGCTCCAGCTGCAACTTCATCCCCTGCAGCAAACGAACATAATCAAACCATCAACTAGTCCCGCGCCTGGCTCTTCCATAATCTGCAGCAGTCTCAGGTAATGCATGAAAGTGGGCTGTGTGTTTGGTACATATTACTGTATTTTCAGGTGACAAGATGTTTTGAGTGTATGAGGTTCATAATCAGTTGACACAATGTTAATTCATGGAAAAAGACTTTAATTTTGAATTGATTCAGTATTTAGAAACATCTAACCTATGGGACCTGCCATTGTGCTAGTATTGCAACGGCTAATTGGTTCCAGTTAAAGTAATAGAAATAGTAAATACTAATAGTAATTAGTGGTAGTAGTAGCAGTAGTAGTAATGGCAAGGAGTTGATGTTAATTTGTATCTGGTTTGAGTTGAAACGTACTGTAGAAGTATTAATGTTTGTTGGATCTGTTGACCTCATCATATCTATCAGACCGTATTTATGAGCAGTAAAGTGGTAAAAACCTAGCTGAAGTAATTCTGAGACAGAGATAGCAGGAATTTCAGACTACAATTTTCGTCTTGGCTGAAAGATTTACAAAAGTACCAACAAACCAGTGGCTGAATAGCTGCAAGCCACCTTTGCTGGCAGTTACGTTTAAATAAAGTTTCAAATCAACAGTACTACGGTCAATTTACCTCATTACAATGGAGCTACAGTACTGTTAAAAAACACTACAGTTATAAGTGAGATGTGAAGTAATTTTTCTGTAGTGGTTTGTAAACATGATACAAATAGCTAACACACTGTCAAATCAATTCATGATCTCATGAACAAAATGGTAAAATAACCTGAGAATTTAAAAAAGTAGCAAGCTAACTAACTAGCTTTTATCTTGTAAACTATAACTATGTAATGTTCAAATCCAGTTGAAGTAAGCGTGAGTGCTTACTAAAATAGACTGCTTGACAATTAGCATGCTGACAAAGCCAAAAAACAGTTGCTTGCTCAGACTGGCTAACCTGAAGCTAAATTTTTTTTAAGATAAGGAACTTAAATTTAGAAAGAAATACTAGTTTATTTAAATTTTTGGAACATATACTTAGCTTCTATATCTAATATACACTGCCACCCATACCATCAGGTAATGGTCTTTTTCTGGTTGTTAAATATTTTGACATTATTGCACATATTATTGTGTATTGTGTATTATTGTGACTTCACCAGTTGGTGATGATGGAACCTGTCAAAAAAACTGAAAAGCCCTTATTTTAGTGTCCCTTTAAATAGTTGACAACTCACCTGACATTATCTAATCTGGAGTGATTTACTATTGCCACGTTCTCATCATGTGGGTAGGATGGTAAAAATTTAAGATGTACATTTTTACAACATCCAAGTGCTTTTGCGTCTCCTCTATCACAGTTGTTGCCATGGCATCTGCAGCTCTGGAGCTGATGGGCTTCTTCTTGGGCCTGCTGGGGATGCTGGGTACCATGGTCGCCACAGTGCTACCATACTGGCAGATTTCTGCCCACATTGGCTCCAACATTGTCACAGCCGTGGCCAACATGAGGGGCCTGTGGATGGAATGCGTCTACCAGAGCACAGGGGCCTTCCAGTGTGAGACCTACAACTCCTTGTTGGCCCTGCCTTCCAACCTGCAGGCCTCTCGTGCCCTCATGGTCATCTCCATTGTGCTGTCTGTCCTCGCCATTGCCATGGCGGTCCTAGGGATGCAGTGCACTCTCTGCTTAGAGGGTTCAGGTGGAGTTAAGAGTCAGGTGGCAGGTGCCAGTGGGGGCTTGTTTCTTACCGCGGGCTTCCTGGCACTCATACCGGTGGCGTGGACCACACATGAGGTGGTCCAGACCTTCTACCGACCCACCATATCGGCCAGCATGAAGTATGAGCTGGGGGACTGTTTGTATGTTGGTCTGGCTTCTGCTCTCGCCTCCATGCTGGGAGGGGGGATGCTTTCTGTGTCATGCTGTGAGGAGCAGGATGGAGGCCGTGGGAGACGCCATGCTGGTGGGTATCCATACCCAGTAGGAGGTGGCATGCCGGGCACAGGGGCACGGACCACCTCACAGACCTATCGCAACCCCAACCTGCAGGTGGGGGGCATCAACACAGCCAGCATGGTCCGCAATACCAGTGGCAGCTCCCAGTCAAGTGCACATGGAGTCCAGGGAGCCAAGAAGCCCAATGCAGCAGGATATGACATTACAGGATATGTCTGAGGTTACTGTTACTCCATCACACGTTTAAATGTGGTCCGCTGACAACTTTGTTTGATTAACTGTATTCATAAAGTGTATTTAAATGAATGTTCACACTATATACTTGACGGAGAATCAAGACAAATTAAATACATGACAAACGAGAGATGAGTAAACTGTATGACAACAATCTGGCTTGTCACGCTGTGTTTGATGGCCTTTCTGCAATCTGTGGTGGGTCCTTTTTTAAAGATTTGTTAAATAAAGTGCAATTGTGGCATTTCCGTACAATTAGACTGCAACAAACTATTTTACTGTTTTTTTCTCTGTTAAAGTTTCATCTTTGTGTAGGATCAGACACATTTCCATTACTTTGATAGCAACTTATCTGTTATGTAGGAAAGTCAAATGACACACACACAGAGAAGCATGTCCTCATACTTAAACAAATAATGGGTAATTTGTCAAAGCGGCCAAAAACGATATGACAATACCAGTTCAGCAACAGGCATACCGGACCTTAAATCTGCTATGGAAGTCATATGACGAATGCGCCATATGGTACAAAATGTTTTGATTGGAAATATATGGTTCTACAATTTTACATATCAGAAATACTTTCCAAAGATCCAAATTACATTACACAAACTTTTCTATGATCTTACTGCAGCCGCTGTGTTCTGTTTATACATAAAGCCAAACAATGCTTTGGTTTTGCTGCACGAGCACTGCAGACTGTAGGAAAAGAAAAATAAGTCAAATTTAATGGCATTGTATTTAAAAAATATTAATGGTTCATGGAAATACATCATTCTGTCACTGATGCCTGGACTGTTCGAACATTTTGACTTCCTGTTGATATTTGGTAACTCTATATTACTTGGACAGTCCACTGTTGATAACTGTTAACTGTTTGCTGCTTTTGTAGATATTCACCGTCACTGTCAAATCTGAACCCAAACCTGACATTTCCAATCTGAGCCCTACAGAATACCTCTCACAGTACTGTATCACCTGAAACCTTTTTTACCGACTCATTACAGCCTATCCATTGCCAGTTAGCTAATACGCTACTGGACTTCCCACATGAAGTGTAACCAAAAGTATTCAAATCTGTTTTCATACTAAATAATGTTGTGCCTTATTATTATTATCAAAGTGTGAAAATGTTATGTGCATTTTTCTAGTTTGTTTTTATTTTGAAATAAATCAGAACTTTTCTTATCATCATTTGTTGTATTTTTGCCCCCAAAACACCATTTTATATGGCACCCCATGAATATTTATGTTATAGACAACTGAATTAAAAATTAGATTATAGATTATATTCAAAATCAGCATGCATACCAAGAAGCACTTGATATCTGATATTATATATATCTAATATTGATGGGCACTAATGTCAAAACGCAATGTACTGAGAAGCTGCTCACAAAAATGCATATAAATATAAGAAAGTGTTTCCTTTAAGACATTTAGGTCTGTATTGAATAAGTATATTGCCCTCAATATGTTAAAAACACAACTTTAAAGTTTAAACATACATAAGTGGCACATGAAGGCTCTTTTATAGAGCAGTTGTTAATAAATAAAAACTGCTGGTGTTTTCAGTCTAGAATAGGAAAAAGATCACGGCCCTGAACTGAAGGCAAACAGAAGATCTACACAAACAAACCTAGACAAACAAAGTCACTACTTTAGCTCGATCAATATGCAATTTCAGTTCAACTCACGTGTGGATTGTGAGACCGAAGTGCACATGATAACACTTGTTCTCTAAACATAGAAGTACTTTAGGTGATGATTGGATCTTGATCCTCTTAAAACTAGTAGTCTGTGGTACAGGTTCCACTGGATCTGTGCAAACTTTTAATTGGGTCTGAGAGGACTAGAGTTCAGAGTTTGAGTGTGTTATAAGGTCATTAGTATTGCAGAACTCCATATAGGGCTGTATATAGGCCAGGAATTGAACTGGTTCAACCAACAGACATTGACAAAGAGAACCCCAGAGATAAGTGAACCAGACAGACACACACACACACACACACACACACTTTGTGAGAAAAGCAAACACAATCTCAAAAACACAAAGTAGAACGCTATTTGCCCCACATACAAGCTGTGCAACCAGCAGAGAGTCGTCCTTCCTCATGCATCAGGGAGATCCAGGGTTAAACAAAATAAGGTAAACAAACACCAAATAAAAAAAGATTTTAGTTCTGCAGTAAATTAATACAATTATAATATTAGGTTGAATACCAGTTTTCAGCATTTGTCTTCTGTAAATGAAACCCTGGAAAAATAACAATTACAAAACAGCAAAAAATAATTGTGTATGTATCATCATCATCATCATCATCATCATCATTGTCACAATACTGTGCATAACAACAGAATGAACATTCACAAAGAGGAAGATGCCAACAAAAAATTTAACCAACCAAATAGTAATGGTCAACAGTAAAACTTAAAAGAGATGAAATGGCAGTGGAGGAAGAATCTTACTCAGATCTTTTAGTGAAGTATAAGTAGCACAGAGTGTAGAAATACTCTGTTACAAGTCCTGAATTCAAAAGTAAAGGTACATAGGTATAATACTCATTAGAGAATATTAATATGTATGATAATACAGGGTTATAATTAGTGATGCATTAATGTGTAAGCATAACAAATGCTGAAAAAGTTATCAATCAACGTTTCTGTTTCCTGGATTTTGTTCTCCAGCTGGCGGATGTTGCCTTCCAAACATGAGTAAGTCAGACTGGAGCTCTGTCTCTTTGTAAAGTTATTAATTGAGAGCAGAGGACTTGGTAACAACACCATCCTACAGTAACTGATTTCATGTACTTGAGAAACCAGTTGAAGACAGGCACAGGTGTGTTTTTGCAGCCAAAAGTTTAAAGCAAGGGAGAGCGACTTCAGACAAACAGGTGCAAAAAATATTAATGATTGTGGAAAACATTTACATAAACATGAGAAAATAATAGTTTGTGTTGTCAGGGGAATTCGTTCACTAATAAAACATTGTGTGACAAAGTTGCTGCGTCTGATAGGTTGACATATGGTTGAAAAATTATTATTCCACTAATAAATTAAGATAAATTATTCATCCAACAATTGCTTTGTGTGGGGTCAACGCATCCATCCATCCATCCATCTATCCATCCATCGTCAACCGCTTATCCTGCATACAGGGTTGCGGGGGGGCTGGAGATAATCCCAGCTTACATTGGGCGAAAGGCGGGGTACACCCTGCACAGGTCGCCAGTCCATCGCAGGGCCACACATAGACAAACAACCACTCACACCTACAGACAATTTAGAGACACCAATTAAACTAACCTGCATGTCTGGATGGTAGGAGGAAGCCGGAGCACCCGGAGAGAACCCACGTGGACACGGGGAGAACATGCAAACTCCACACAGAAAGGCCGGGGAGGTCAACACAAATGTTACAAAATTGCTTTACAAAGAACAGGTGTAGCTCAAATTCTGACCATAGTCTACGTGTGTCCCGTTACAAGAGATTAAAATACATTAGGCTGTTAGAAAAAGTCAATGTGGTTTTCTTTTAGTGATCATTTTAGTTTCTTAAAACGTTTGACAACATTTGAAGAAACACAAAGTTCAAGCTTAAATTTCCTGCTAGCCCACCAAGATGCACCGCTTTGTGCTTCCGTACATCACCATTTGTGTGAAGATATAAAATAAAGACATTATTGGGGTTTTATGCTGAATTAAGTCTTTGTAAAGAAGCTTAATTTAACTGTAATAGCTGTATAGCTGATGGAACATACAAGTCAAAAAGCAGACTAGCTGGTAATGATTGAAAGGCTCCACCTAGTGTCCAAAAGAAGAATAACACTTTTTTTGTTTTAAACTGAGGAACTGCATACTGCATTTCAATTGACCTTCATGTTGCACTGGAGTCTAATTGGTTAGGGTATGCTGCTGTACATTTGTGTCCCTTTTGTAGTAATCTTTATACAACCAAACAGGTAAATCTGAGCACATTCATTCATGACTTACTGTAATAACATCCCTCTGACTGATGTACATGCCTGCATTTATTGATGAAAAGAGGGTTCAGTTTCTGTAAAGCCCGCTCAGTCAGTTTTACAATGAAAAGCTTTGTCTTCATAAGTATTGGAGAGAATGTGGTAAAACCGTACCTTATTTTAGTCATATTTTTTGTTTGGTTCACCTAATTATGATATTTTGCAAGATACAAAAATAATCCCAGAGCCATTTTGTTTTTATATAGAATAAATATTAATTGGTAAAATTCCAACAGAATCTCAATCAGAAATTACAAACATTTAATGAGGACTTAATGAGGCTCTAAGGCTTGAAATGTTTAACTGGAGGTTAATGATGTGGAAGATTTAACAATGGAGTACACTACGTTGAAGAGGCGATATTTAATTACATGGCAGAAGATGGAGGAAACTGTGTCGTCTGTAAAAAAAAATATAAACCTGAACTTGTTTAATAGGTAGACCTATCATGTCCCAGGTAGTGCATCTGCATTTTTGCTTTACTTTTGCCATCAACAACTTGAGTGTTATTTAATTTATTATGTTAGTTTTATTAATAGAATGTGTTCGACAGTAATGTCTAAGCCTGCTGTTTTAGCAAAATGACAATAAAAAGGCTAAGAAATGCCTTTTATTAAGATGAAACTGGCAAAGATTATCATTTTTTAATACATAATAACAAAAATAATATTACAATCACATCCATCTCAGTCTGTTATTCACAACTCTAGAGGATCCATGTTGTCAGGAATAAACATGTTTTGTTCTTCTATTTCCTCTCCTCCCACACTTCCTCTTTCTTCTGTTTCTCCTTTTCCTGTCGCTCATGGCCAAACTCCACCACCAAAGGTTTCCCTAGCAACCGGTATCCATGGACCAGCTGCAAGGCTTTCTGTGCCGTTTCAGCATCTGCCAAAGAAAAACAGATAGACGTTATAACAAATACGACATGTACTGTATAATGGACACGGCTTTTATTTGTACATTAAAACATACATTTATTTTGCAAAGCTACCAGTGTGGCTCTAGAGATGTTGGTCTGTTAGTCTGTCTGCCACTTTGGTACAGAGTGAAATATAGTATGCGAAATCTCATACAGGGCATCATGACCAAAGAATGCCCTGGTTAAAGAGGCAGCAGACAGCACCGCTTTCACCTTTTAGTGTGTGAGAAACTGTTTCTGACCTGGCAGAGTGATGAAGGCCTGCCCCTTCATCCTTCCAGTCAGCAGGCGGTAAAGGACTGGCGGCTCATTTTCCCGCTCAAACCTGGAGAACAGTGCCACCAGCTGGGCCACCGACGCCTGTGCACTCAGGTTCTTTACACACAGCACCTACAGTGAGACGCACAGCAACAGAAATCCTCAATAAGCTGCAGATGCTTTTTTGACAGCGTTGCATAGTGACAGCTGTATGTACAGCATATCAGCTCCACAGCACTTGAACCTCTTCCCCTGTGATGCCATAGAAATGACTTTAATATCTATGTGGTAATCTCTCTCATGGATAGAAAGCAAATAACCACATTTATGTAAATGCTTACCTATTTATTTCAATGTATGTCTGATGCTATGAGGGTAATATAACGCAGGAAAATATAATTACAGTAAACAACAACAATCATCCTTTTCTTTTGCCAGACTGAAACAGGTCCATCCAACATGTCAGTGGTTTTTAGCCTGCAGAACTTGAATGTGAGATGATCTAATGCTTCATTTTAGAAGCAGAAGGGCAGGTCCACACATTTTCAAGTCTGTGTTAAAACAGCAGGCATGTGCCCATTAAAGACATTTTGCTTGCTGTAATCATTTCTCCTGTTCACACTGGCCATCAAGAGATCCATTCCTAAATCAGAAGATTTTGGAAGATATTCACTTGACTTAGCGGAGTCAGACTGCTAAAATGTCATGCTAGCCTCAGATAAACTTCAGAATACATTTTCACACAGAACAAGGACTGTAGATTTTGTACTTACATTGGAAGCACATTAGTAAGGGTTCCTTCAACGGCCAGTATGAACAAGATGAATGATTACAGCAGCAAAACCTGTTTTAATGTTCATATGAGCATCTGACTTTAAAAACTGCAAACCTATGCTTTTAAGAGACATCAGTTCTGACACTCATTGGATGCATATACAGTAGGAAAAGGACACATCCACCATCATTAAAAAAGCGTTACTTTCAGGTGACAG